CATACGCCAATCCCGGTCTGTCATTCCTTGCAGATCCTTCCCTTCTTGGTGCAGTTCCTCATCAACTGCAGCTGTAGAAAGGCACAAAGACTCTACGTAAGGCTGAGTGTGTAGAACTCCACAAATGGCTTTCACAGATTCCATGGAAAGTTGTTCTGTGGGGGCGTTGCTACTTAGTTCCGGAAGCCTAGACAAGGTGTCTGCGTCTGTATTCTTCAATCCTGGCCGGTACTGAACATCAAAGTCATATGCTGCAAGGGCTGCCAACCACCTGTGACCTGTGGCATCCAACTTTGCACTTGTGAGCACGTATGTCAAGGGGTTGTTGTCTGTGAGAACTGTAAACTTTGCTCCATACAGGTAGTCATGGAATTTCTCACAAACCGCCCACTTGAGTGCAAGGAATTCCAAACGATGAGCTGAATAGTTTGCTTCTGACTTGGTGAGTGCTCTACTGGCATAGCTGATGACTCTCTTCACACCATCCTGTTCCTGATATAATACTGCACCAAGTCCTTGACCGCTGGCATCGGTGTGGAGCTCAAATGGTGTTCCATAGTTTGGATATCCAAGGATGGGTGGTGAAGCTAGCAGTGTCTTCAGTTTCTCAAAGGCGTGTTCCTGTTCAGCTCCCCAAGTCCAAAGCTGTTCCATTACCTTCTTCTTGGACTTTCCAGATTTACCATGGGGCATCAGTGATGACAGAGGCTTAGCAATCTTGGCAAAGTCCTTAACAAACTTGCGGTAATATCCGGCGAAACCGAGGAACTTTCTGACATCACTTGGGTTGGTTGGTTGAGGCCAGTTCAATATCTTGTCCACTTTATCAGGATCAGTTGTAAATCCTTCTTCAGTCACCACATGGCCAGGGAACTTGATTTTCTTCTTGAAGAAGGAACACTTCTCTGGAGATAATTTAAGACCTGTATCTCTGATCCTCTGGAATACTTGACTGAGCCTGATGAGATGTTCGCTGACTGACTGGGAGTAGACGATGATGTCATCCAAGTAGATGAGACATATCTTCAAGTGAAGGCCTTCAAAACATTCATTCATAAGCCGTTGGTATGTCGCTGGGCTGTTACATAATCCGAAGGGCATACGGTTGTATTCGTAAAATCCCAAGGGTCCAACGGTGAAGGCTGTTCTTTCCTTATGTGTTTCCTCTATCTCTACTTGGTGATAACCACTCTTCATGTCCAAGGTACTGTAAAGTCTTGTTCCTGAGAGGGCTTCGAACATCTCTTCTATCCTCGGAATTGCGTAGTTGTCTCGGATCGTCTTCTGGTTCAGTTGACGAAAATCTACACATAGCCTTAATTTTCCTGACTTCTTGCGCACAAGCACAACATTGGATGACCATGGAGAGTGAGAACGTCTTATGACACCAGCAAGGAGTAGATGATGCAAGTGATCCTTAACTTCCTGATACATGGCTGGTGGGACTCGGCGATGTCGCTGTTTAAATGGCGTGTCATCTACTAAGTCGATCCTATGTTTTACTGAAGAAGTGTGACCAACATCTGTGTCTCCTGTTGAAAAGATGTCGATGTAGTCGGAAATAACTTGTTTCCCTTGTTGAAGTTCCTTGTCTGTTACACTGGCTTCCTTAAAGTCCATAAGATTCATGATATCTGTGTCCTTACTTGGAGTAAAAGGATGAATCTCCGGTACATCTTCTGTGCTAACAACTTGTAGTTCGCATGAGAGAGCACGACTTGGAATTGAAACAGAACGAGTTGTGAGGTTTGATACATGTATGTCCACAAACATCTTCTGTCCTCTTCCATCATATGATACTAAAGTTGGTTCAATGTCAAGGTCGTCTGGGATGACTGATCCTCTTGTAGGCTGATTAATGGCGCAAGTGGATCTGTAAGGTAGGGGCTGTATCACATGTCCACGAATAACAATTTCAGAATTAGCTGGAATTATCTTGCGACCTGGCTCTGAACTTCTAATTCGTCCTATGGAGTAATTGTTCTTGACAAGTTCTCTCTCCTGAAGGGACATGGAACGAAGAGCCAAATACCAAGGAGTATGGAGGTCTGCTTTCTGAAGGAATCTTTCCCCGAACTCCTCCTTGCACTGGAGCATGTAAACAGAGAGAACGTTGGTACCTAGAGTAATTGGAACTGTCTGGTTGTAGCAACTGTCAGGAACTACCAGAAGTAAACATCGGACTTTAGATAGAGCACTTCCTGTTCCCTGAATGTCCACAACAATGTATCCACTATACTGTAAAAACTCTCCATCTGCACACTCGATGTTAAGGATGTGTTTAAGTGGCTCAATAGGAATCTCACTGAAATTCTGTTGGTAGTAAGACTCGGAAATAGAAGAAATGGTCGCTCCTGTGTCAAGTAAAGCCCTGGAACTAACACCATTGACCATGATATTAGTCTCAGTAGGCTTACCAACTAACTCTGCAACCAACTGCTGTTGAGTGCTGACATGCTGTGTGTCTAGGCCCATGGTCCGCCTCTCCCCATAGGCCGATTGAAGTTTAAAGGACCATTGTCTATCCTGGTTCTACATCCTTTCCTAATGTGTCCAGGTTGTCCGCATCGGTAACAAACCGGAATATCAGAGAAGGTCTGTGGTCCTTGGAATCTATGTTGGCCACCACGTCCAAACTGCGGATTTTCTCTAGGCTGTTGTGGACGTATCCACTGTCGAGGTGGTATCTGCCATGATTGACCTTGACCTTGGTTATACCTTGCTGCTCCTGTGTTTGCCTGTGAAGAGTCTGATTCCATGGCGTCCTTATTCTGTTTCTTGAGAGCAGCAATCTCTGTTGACATGGACTTCAGGATTCCCCGGATTTCTTTAAGCTCTGAATCCTGAGTGAATGTGGCCTTACTTGTGGCATCAGGCTTCTTCTTAGACACTGGGTTCCTCTCCTTTAAGTCGGCTTCCACCTGCCTGAGGTAACGAAGAAAGTCTTCAAATGATCCACCTTGATCAAACTTGTGACTTGTGAGGTCCCTCAGTTGTGATCTAAGTCCAGTCCACAAGGTAGTCCTTAGTAAATCTTCTGTTTGTCCAGGCTGTACTTTTCCAAGTGTGACTCCTTGGCTCAAAATATCCTCTAGTCGGCATGACCACTCTGCTACACTTTCTTCATCCCCTTGCTTGGCTGTGTAGAACTGTGACATAATGTTGTGTTCCGTGTGAACATCACCAAACACGCTAGCAAGCTTGAAGATGATTGTCTTCAACGGGGCATCCTTGTCTACATGCATAGCCACTCTAGCAGCTCTACCACGTAACGAGCGCCGAACAGCTTCAGCAACGATCTTTGAAGAGTAACGAGTAGACATACAAGTATACTCGTGTCTCCATTGATCGAAATCGGCATCCCCCTTCCTGTCACCAGAAAAGTATGGAAGCTGTGGAGTGTGGGCCAGGGTGACAGTAGTAGGCACGAAAGAACCTTCTGAACCTGCTTGTGCTTGACCATGTTGACCATGTTCCTGCTTTACCTGACCGACTTCGGATATCCACTTCAACAAGTCTTCTGGTGTGTCAGCTTTAGGGTGAAGTTTTAGTTTTTGAAAAGAAGAAATTAATTTCTGCACCTCTTCCTCAGAAAGTCCTCCTTCTGCCATTGTGACGTGTAGGCGAAATGCAAAGTGAAAAACAAAACAAAAAAGCAAAAGGCTGAAAGAGACTTAAATAAACCAACCAAATAAATTGGGATGTGTGATCTTGGAGTGCAATATGATCACAAAGAAAAAGAAACTACACAGTAAGCTAAATGAACTGATAATAAGCTGATGTCACGCAGTGTAGGAATTGTACGGTAATATACCCATTACATGTTTATCATAAGAAATAATTGACAAGGTCAATGGAATTGCTAATGATTAAGCAAAGACAATGAACCTTAGTTGCACGATGTAGAACACTGAATGTAACCGAGTACAAAACTAAGTGAACACCAAGTGCAAACCAACACCAAAGACAACACTAGAAAAGCAAGCAACAATTCCCTGAATGTAGCAAACTAGCAAGACAACAACTGCTAATGAACTACATGTAGTGAGCTAACCTCAAAATGAACCTATCACTCTATTTAGGAATTAAAGTAATAGCTATATGATTTATGTTAGTTAAGTAGTTGATTTTACTAACTACCTAGCCACAAACACACACAGACCAATCATACAGTGCTTAGATACCAAACAAAAATACATGAAGCATAAGACTGGCATGAATAATAGGTATGGTCGGAGCGCTCCTGAAAATGGCCATAGTATAATACATGTATATTGCAAACAACATATGCATAAACACAGAGATTATAGGACAGATTTTAATCATACACATCCAACACAAATATAGCATGAATCATACATATAATTCATTGCATGATAAAACATGTAAGTGAGAAGTCATTCCGGAAGACAACATGTCAAATATGTCACATGACAAGTACAGCATAGCATTGCCATCACTATGGTATACAAAAGAATACAGAAATACGACATGCTATTCACAAGAGACAAGTGAAGCAATATCCAGAAGTTGCCTTCTGTGATTACACAATTTCACACACTCGCAGTTGTCAGTTCAACTCGGCTGTGTGTAAAAAATGTTTATGATGATAAATTGTCAATTATTTTCTCTGCTGGATCCAGGTTAATATACACACTAAGTGTCACAATTATCACAAGCGTAGAGTGTCATGATCATGATAAATTCAGAAATGCTCAACGTTGAGTAAGAGTATATATGATTACAACAATAATAATGTTCAATGTCTCATCAATACTCAAGTCACGTGTAACCACATATGTACCGGTCTTGTGTCAACACACATCGCAGATCACATGATGTCATAATGGCGGATCGATCCTCAAGTGTGACGTCACATAACGCCGTGGTTGGTCTCATGTGTACGTCAGTTTCCTCATGGTCCCATCAAATCCTCACCGGGGGCTCCAATGTAGCAGCGGTAGTTGTCGGGGTGGTAAACACAACAAACGGCTACAGGGTGTGAGCTGATGGCTGTTTATTCTCTTAGAAGAGAATGGTGAATAAATACGGCCTGCAACAATGTATAAGTAATAATACATACTGCATACAAGACATAGAACATTGATATTGATATAATATACATAATGGCCTTACATCTAAGGGACATTCAATTAGCAAGAAACCAATGTTACTCATGTAGGAAGTAACCTGTACAATGATATATATATTATATCTGCTTATGACTCTATAATAGTATAAACTAAACATAAACCATGTCTACTGTCATAACACTAGACAAGTACAATACTACATGATAATTACAAAGATATACGTAAGCATATATATAGATATATATATAGATACATACATTTATACATTCATGAGTAACACATAAACAATACATACCAGACTGGTGAAACCTGTGCCGTGTCACCAAAGCTTCTAAGATAGTGCCAGTTACATCTGCATTGACAAAGTATAAACTAATGCAGATACTATTTACACTATAATTATACACAACACATAAGTAAAATAGGTATTTAAAATAAGGATTGATCAAATTACTTAAATAATGCACTTTCACACATACGCATACATTCTTGTACACAATTGACACAATTACCTTAATGTGATATGAGGTATAGAATTACTACAGTTTATTTAGTGTTTAGTTTTATTTAGTTATTGTTCAAGTTAAGATGATAATAGCCTAGGATAAATTAGCTATTTATCAATTAAAGAAACTGCTTTATAATACTTTATCATACAAAATAATCATGATCAGAATACACTAACTGTGGATTCAATACACAACCTGATTAGCAATAAACCAAGCACAACTTATTTCTAACTTTAAGAATTAGAAATACACAAATACATATAAAGTATCATACAAGAAATATACATTGACTAACCTTCAAATCCATGAAATAATCACATCTATTCGATCCATGAATACAAGATCCATTCAAAATATATACAAAATGACTATGGAGTACATATGTCAAGTGTAATCTGGCAACTGCCTCAGATCACAAGCAAACAAAGGTATACCTGTGGTCAGCTGTGAGTGACCACAGAGAACAATAGAGTACTCTATGCGCGGGGTGGGATACTAAGTGCTGTGGGTGAAAAGCATGCAGTGGTATGGTTAGTCAAGGCTGGATAATTAATAGACTGAATGAAACAGATAAGCTATGGTATTAATGTTTAAGTTGAAATACAATTATATGGCAAAAGTAAGACAGGTAAATAAACTATGTACTACTTAATTCAAATATGAAATAGAATGTGTATAAAACTATAGCTAAAATAGAATTAAAACCGAACTTGTATGTACAAAATATTACTCTGCCACATACATATATGTAAATACTACATGTTCTGGTGATATTTAAACTGTAATACCGACATGGGGTAAAAATGTAACTAATTAAAACACTAATTATATGTTGTGGCATACAATTTCTTTCTTTTTTTCAACAGCCTGAAGCATATCTATTTTTTTCAAGAATATTTTTGGACAATATATATTTTTCCGATAAGACTTAGAAAACTATTTAAAACCAAACACCAAGGAGCATTTCTTTAAAAATGTCGTCATTGCAATATTATTAATGGTAATATCGTTCACAAATGAAAGTAATTGCTACAAGTAGAAATGTTGAAGTAGCTTAAAGAGGAAATAATTTTTCTTTGATAACCAGGGCACCTTCGATAGGGCTCTAAAAAGCTAATGTGAATATTTTGTGATCGTAAGGGTTTAACTGTTTTTGTAATGGCATTGACAGTTTAGGATTTCACTCTGTTGTATCTGTATTCCCAAACAGAACCAAGAAAGGGAGACCGGTATATTTTTAAATGCGTATTCAGTGTATTTTGTGTGGAATAATCCAGATCTCATGTTATCATTGAATCATCCGAATGAGGTAAATGTACCACTAAAATACGTACTGGAGAGTTAGGTTTGAGGCAACTGGAGTGAAACCCACGAACACGGAAGTCCAAGGGTCAACAGCCAATTGCGTCGCCTTAGACAACTGGGCCACCCGTGCCTACTTATTCTAGTCTTCTCTGAAAAGTGCATGGTCCTAGTCGGATAGAATCTAGGACACATGCTAATGGTGTGGGGAAGTTGTGCAGTCGACATCATGTCAACTTGATACATCATATCACATGCCCATATATTGCTATCATAGCAACACAGTTTCCTGTTACGGTGTGCTTGTTGTCTTTCATACAGATCCTGAAACAATTATATCCAATACAGCCCGTGCAAGTCTGTAATAGTTGGCAACTCTAGATTACTGCTATATCAGGAAGGTTTCTTGACTCAATTTTATAACATTTTAGCATATAATTCTACAACTGTGTTTTTCTCTAACATATGTTCATTTCAAAGACTAGATGTAAGTCTACTGTACAGGAAGCACGGATTGCTGTGCAGAGTTAAGGCGTACCATAAACCTATGATCGTGGGTGAAAAATTGACTTGCATATGCATGTGTTTGTGACGGGTGTCAACGGTAGGGCAGGATTTCGCAAACACCTGGTGTCGTCACTATTTGATAGTGATTCCTAAACACATGCTCATGACATAGTCGGAATCGTACAACTGACACTGCTTTTGGCAGAGATTTATGATGAATATGGAAATGGTTTTGTCGCTTTTATTTATTCGAATCCCGGTTCGCCCCGATTAGGTTTCTAGATTTGTCAGCTCCATGCCCGTGCTCTTAGGTTTCACCAAAGTGGCAAACGTCTCAGGCCTGCATCACTTTGGGCTTTCCTTTCAAATCAAGCTGACACGCCGTGATATAACTGGAATATTGCAGCGTAACTCACTTGGTAACGGCATACATGTTACTGACCTAATTACAACATCACGTGTCAATGCTGTCTATAATATATTATTAGGTATTTGCTGCTCAATGCCGCACTCAGCAGTATTCCAGACAATCCCATTTAATTTGTTTTCAAATGGAAAAATAAGCGACAAAACCCTTTCCTTAATCATTAAAACTTTCTGCTTAAAGCAGAGTCCACTTCACGATTCCGACTATTCATAAACATTGGTTAATGAATCACTATCTAATAGTGATGTTACCAGGCGTCACAAACACATGCAAGTGGAAGTCAAGTATTCACCTGAAAAAAAAGCGGGTTAAAGTAAAAACTGGGAAGGACAACCGTATGTCTTATACACTTTAAGTTTGACTTGTTAAATGGCAGTTAATTTTGTTGTTGAACAATGATTGTAACTGTGGTACATTGGTTTTGAGATTCGGTAGACGCTCATTGCATTGTGTTTGGACAGTGATCAGTCGTCAGGAAGTTACTATATTTAGATGCTTGTGTGCTGTGAAAGCGTCTGGTGATAGTATGTTATGAGAATTTCTGTAATGTTCTCTGTTGTGAGGGAACTATGTGGAACTTTCCAGTGGATGGTTAGACTATAAAAGGGAACACTAGCGCGTTAACGTATATCTCACGCATTTTCATCGCTTCGGAACCAGCTGTCATGTGAGGATCGCTCATCATCCCCGATTCCCTTCCTAGCCTATCTCGAAAGCTTGACCACAGTCGCCGCTCGGTAAATATATTATTATCACTGACTTTTGCTATCACCAACAGTATTTTTGTATCTGATACAGGTACTCTATAAAAGGGTGGCGCGGGTGGCCTTTTCATCTTTGGCGACGGAATTCGCTCTGCATGGTTGTGTCACTAAGCGTACCAGGATATTATAAATCTTGGTTTGAAGCACCATACACATGCTCGTGGTTTTGCCATTCCAATGATAGGCGAGGGCACCGAAGAGGAGATAGGGGGTCGAGTGTCCAAGTCGTCGCCATGCAGAGTTGCCTCCCTTGGGACAAGATTCCTATGATTGTGGGTTCAAAACCTAGGTTCATCTTATAATGATTCGTGGTGGTTAGTTTCAGCAAAGTGGTAAACCTCTAAGACCTGCATCACTTCGGGGTTCCCCCCTCATTTAGTGAAAGGTATGACTTGAATGACTTTCAAAACGTTTTCTCTCTCACGGCTGTAAACAAGAGTTAAGTTACATCACGTCATGGCATCTTGATGTGGGAGAATCGTCTTCACGCACTATTACGAATATACGCATTTTCACTTATACGATGTTTGTTTTTAGAAAATGATAATTGATTTTATTTAGAAATAAATTTTAAACTTAATAGTACACCAGAAACACCAAGAAGAGACATGTATTTCCCTATCCCACAGCATGATTATACTGATGATAATTTTAGACATTTAACAGATGATGACGATTTAATAACGGAACTAGTATCAGATGGGTTTTACAGACCTAGGTTCTCCTCTGACCTGCAAACTAACAAATTTGGAAATTCTGTAATTGATGTGTGTCAATTATTGAATTTGCACATTCTAAATGGTCGATGTGATACTGACAAAGAAAAAGGTGATTATACATTTGTTGGACATAATGGATGCAGTGTAATTGATTATGTCATTGGATCATGCTGGTTATTTGAGAAAGTTCTGTCTTTTAAAATTATTTCAAGAAGTGAGTCAGAACATCTCCCTATAGCATTTAATCTATCTACGAATATTGATTTATCAGAGACTACAACAAAGATACGTTCAGATGACCAAATGATCAGTGGTACTAAGTATTCATTGAATGAGGATAAGAGGTATATATTCATTGAAATGTCAGCATCTCTCAATAAAGAATTGGAAGATGCGGTACACATAGCCTTAACAGACATTTATTACAGGATTAAATTATTCACAGATACCTTATTGCGATCAGCTGATTGTATGAAACATTGTGTACGACCATTTTCAGGTTTTAAAGATTGGTATAATGCTAAATGTGAATGTTTTAAAAAACAGAGATGTCATTATCTCAATGTATTTCGTAAATATAAAGACAAAGTGTCTCTTCAGCACTATCTTGCTGCAGGAAATAAGTATCAAGCTGTATGTAGGAATGCTAAAAGTTCTTTCGAGATTAAACGTCAATCTGAATTTATAGATTCAATGAAGGATTTCAAAACATTTTGGCACAAAGTTCAAGCTTTATCAGGTACAAGTAAGGATAAAAATAATATAAATACAGAGACTTTGTACGAGTTTTTTTAAAGACCTGTTCAGTATTGCAGAGCCAGACATACCTACTTTTTATGAAGAAGATACGCCCACCTTGAATACTGAAAGTATACGAACGAATGAATATACTGGTAGTAATTGATTTAAGTCTGTCACTGATGATATATTTAATGCTCCTATCAGCAGTGAGGAAATACAAGATAATATTCGTAAGTTGAAATGCAATAAAGCAGCTGGAACAGATTATGTAATGAGTGAAATGTTTCAATGTTCAGATAATATCCTTGTTTCATATTTACTTGTATTGTTCAATTCTTTATATGATAAAGGTGTTTTTCCTTCGGAATGGTCAAAAGCAATCATTGTTCCATTGTATAAAAAGGGTATTATATTAAGAATAATGTTGATAACCATCGGGGAATATCTGTACTGAGTTGTTTTGGAAAATTATATACCATGACTCTAAATGGCAGATTAACGTTCTGGTCAGATGCAATCATGGGAAACATTTATGAAGAACAGACAGGATTTAGAGCAGGTTATTCCACAATGGACAATGTTTTCATTTTACAAGCTTCAATTACAAAATATCTCTCAAAAAGGGGATGTAAATCATATGCATGTTTTGTTGATTTCGCTAAGGCATTTCATTCCGTTAAAAGAAAAATACTCTGGCACTTATTTGGTAAACATGGGTGGGCATCAAAGATGGATAAATCATTAAAAGCCATTTACGAATCAGTTAAAGCTTGTGTACGAACCAATGGCAATAAGCTTACAAGTATGTTTGATTGCCCTTTGGGAGTGCGTCAGGGTTGTGAATTAAGCCCTGTCTTGTTCTCTTTCTTTATAAATGAACTTGTTCTTGAAATAAACTCAAAATAAAAAATGGCATCCAGTTATATCCAGATCTAATAGAAATATTCCTTTTACTTTTTGCTGACAATGTTGTCCTTTTTTCTGATTCGGTAATTGGTCTTCAACGTCAAATCAATATTTTGGAAAATTATTGTGACAAGTGGTCACTGTCCGTCAATCTAAATAAAACTAAAGTTCTTGTTTTTAAAAGCGGTGGGAAATTATCAGAATTAGAGAAATGGATATACAAAGACGCTCATATAGAGGTAGTTTCACCTTATACTTACCTTGGAATATTGTTTGCTAGGACTTTGAGTTGGAATAAATATCTAGAATCTACATCTGTTAAAGCTAAGAAAGTGTTGATTTCAATCCTACAAAGTTTGTTAAAATATGATAATCTACCCTGTAATTTACACTTTCAAATTTTTGATACAAAGATAATGCCAATTTAATTTATGAATCAGAAATATGGTGTTATAGAAAATATGAGTGTACAGAAAAAGTTCATCATTATGCGTGTAAACGTGTAATTGGGGTTCGACCCTCCACCCCAAATGGTATTGTACTTGGGAAATGTGGCAGATATCCATTGTATATATTTTCGCGTAAGCGCTGTATAAATTATTTGTTAAAACTAACTAGACTCTTCCATCCACGCGATACCCAGTTAAAGCCTACAACATACTGTTCTATTTATATCAAAATGCCAGTCACTCACGCAATAAACATTATTGGGCAACAAATTTCAAAAACACCCTTTTCAGTTTAGGGCTTGGATACGCATGGATGGATCAGGGTGTTGGAAATGTCAAGATGTTTATGTCATTATTACTCCAAAGAGCTAAAGATTGTTTTCAGCAAATGTGGATAAAAAACTAAGAAATAGCAAATGTACATATACCTATTCTCTCTTCAAACACCAATGTATACTCGAAGAATATCTAATATCTGTTACAATAAAAAAATCCGAGTATCGCTAGCGCAGTTCAGAGCAGGATATTATGATTTAAAGATCTATAAAGGTATATTTAAAAAGTCTAACAATATCTGTATATCTTGGAACCTTAATGTTGTAGAAAATGAGTATCATTTTGTGCTTGTGTGTTGACTCTATCGTCGTTTAAGAAACAAGTATATTCCAAAGAAGTTTATAACTTACGCAAACATTAATTTGTTTTGCTTACTCATGTCAACTTCAAATATTACTTTATTACAAAATATTGCATTGTTCATACATCATGCAAAACCTTGTAAATACGTTGAACTGTGGGCCTTTGGCCTTTCAGTTCGCAATGAATAAAACAATTTGGAACACACAGCACGTTCAAATAATAATTTGGGAGCTCCCACAATAAAACATTTGAGCCATATTTGCCCAACTGATACTTACAGAGTGCACACTGTTGATATGTCACTTAGTGCAAGAACGCTTTGTAGAAACGCAGTAGGAAATGAATATGACTCTATTTTAGAATGGTCATCGTTATCTCATCATAATATCCCAAAACTTCCTTTGACGCCCAAATAAAGTGAATTTTACTCAGTAACAGCCATTACCAATACAAATGAATGATGCTTCATATTTTAGACACGCGTATGATCTTCTGTTTTTACAATCTTCAGATTTACCACGTTACAAATGAAATGTGTGAGTGAGTTTTTTTTCCGCTGCTTTGAAACATTTTTCCAGTTATATCACGGCTTGTCAGCTTGATATGGGAGGAGCAGGTCTCTGACGTAACCACGTTTCGTGAAACTTGCAAGCGCGGGTAAAGTGCGGAGAAAACTAGAATAAATTTATTAGGGTGAATCTGGGATTCGAACCCATGATCGTCAAAGGGACCTAACTCTGCACAGCGAACTGCCGTGACAGACAACTGGGCCACCCGTGGCCCTGTTACATCTGTAGCTTTATGAGGATAAAATAACTGATTTTGTTTTAGTATTGAAACAGCAATTAGGTACAGCAAAGACACATTCGACACTGACGTGCTCAGAAATATCGTTAATGAAGGAAGCCATCGAGTGACAAATAATAACGATAGGGTTATTGTACGAGCACATCGGCCTTTGAGAAATATATTAGAAAGTAACCTATGCTCGTCGTAAGAGGCGACATATTGGACCACGTAGTCAGTCTCGGTGACCTGATTGACTGAGTGTCACAATACCCCGAAGGCTTGGAATGTTGCTAAGAATATCAATCACTTGATTGCATAGGTCAGAATTTCTAATATACACATGTGCGGCGTAAAACAAACAAACATCATTTGAAGTTCTCATTTGTTACGATATTCTCAGTAAGCATTTACTTGACGCCAATCTTCCTCTGTACGAACTGCGCATGTCAGATATTAATAAGGAAGAGAGTAGTTTTCTTGCCAACTGCCATCTCTCTGTTGAAGCACGAACATCCGGTTGACCGTATATGACTTCCGGTTACACTAGTCACCAAGCAAACGCAGGCAGTGAACATTAAAGCTTGAAGCTCTCGTCATGGATTGTTCAACCCTTCTTCTCCTAACGGTTGGTTTTTGCTCTACGTTTGTCAACACTGCTCCAACCTTCGACAGTCGTCACTTCGATGTTGATGTAAGTGTTTTAGTTTTATTTCAGTTGTCATATTGTACAGTGGGATCTTTGTCTTCGGATTCCTTTTCTTTATCTTTGATATGTTAATATTTTGCATGCATTATGCCTGATACCAGTTAAATGTCAACTGTGGCCCAGCAACGTCAAGTGACAGTACATTTTATTAGTTCACTGGCTGCTACCCCATGGTGTGTCTGCACCGTTATGGCAATGGGTTCACGATACGACTCGACTTATAATTAAGCTTTATATTAAAATATTATTCAGGATTATTGCACTTACATAGCGACGAACATGCGAGTGTGTGTGTGTGTGTGTGTGTGTGTGTGTGTGTGTGTGTTTGTGTGTGACTCTCTCTCTCTCTCTCTCTCTCTCTCTCTCTCTCTCTCTCTGTGTGCGTGTGACCCATGACCCATTTTGACATCCATGCCCCTTCCGCTCTCAGGGCAGACCCTCTATCCTCTACACCACGGCGTCAGTCAGTTCAACTATTGCCCTATGTTATTGAATGATTGTTATTCTTTACTGCCGTTGTCATCAATCTAATAGAAACCCCAACGATTCAAGAAGCACTAGATATTTCACCGATCTTTATCAAAATGGTGGATATAATAGTCATTTAAACGTCATCAACCTTACAACAGGTTAAGAGTCCACTTCCATGCATTTACTTTGGTGGTGGCCATTTGATATTCGCGGTGTGGGTGAGGGGTCAGTTTCAAATGAATAAACACTTATTTTATTATTTAAAACTATGAACCTGTATTCTTGTCAAAGAAAAAACCTTGTAATTTTTGCAGCTTTTGTTTTGAAAGGTCTGAGGCATAATTATTTATTTCAAAATTATTCAGGGACAATATATGCTCTTCGATACAATTCCAGCCCCTCCACAGAATATCCAATAGTCGGTCCCTTATAAATAATTTCAGTACGATGGCTCATTACCTCGTAAAAGACAAAACAAAGACCAGATGGCGCTGTCAACTCCCTAAACGCTGTCACTGTGGACATTACGGGTAAATTGGCTTTAAATGGTGATCGGGTGGCCACAATGAGAGATCTGACTCATTGTATGTCATCGGGACATACATATGTATGGACGTGAATCATGCTTTCAGTAACTGGGTTCCCTTATTCAGACTCGATCGATTACAGCTTCCATGTTATAGCTAGAACAACGCTAACTTCAGCGTTACATAATAAATAAAACTCGGAACTTAAACACAGCCGACCTTATACTATGCATTCGTTACATTTCCTGTTGAGTTTTAAAGGATTTATCCTATAATTGTTAGCATGTAAAATGCATCCAACAAAATGAATTTGCCAATCATTTGAGAGGTTGAAACGGCATTTTGTTCTGTTCGGGAGTGATAACCATGGTATCCTGTACCGGGGCACGTCGTATCATTCCTTCATCACATGTCGGTGAAGTTCTGGTGCCTTATTACACACCCACTACAGGAAGCGGTTCATGTTTCACGTGCACTCAACAATAAACGTCAGTACTCACACAGCAGACTCCTCTTGTCAGGCTGACCACGTGAAGAATCGGGTTATAATTCATCTACAGCAGCCCCTGCTTGTCTTCCCTCGCGAAGATCCGGGTTATAATTGATCTTCAGCGACCCATGATTGCACTCCCAAGCAAAGATCCGGGTTAGAATTGATCTTCAGCGACCCATGCTTGTACTCCCAAGCAAAGATCCGGGTTAGAATTGATCTTCGGCCTTCAGCAGCCTGTGCTTGTCTGCCCCGTGAAGATCCGGGTGAGAATTGATCTTCACCAGCCCATGCTTGGCTCCCCCCCCCCCCCCCCCCCCCCACACACACACACACACCTGTGAAGATCCGGGTTAGAATTGACCTAAGCATGTCCAAACTAACGGGGTCTGGATGAGACTCGCTGACTTGGTTGATGCATGTCATCGGTATCTCAACTGCGTATATCAATGCTTATGTTTTCCAGCACTGGATTATTTGTGCACTTAACATGCTTTTCTCTCTGTGTGTATAATGATGAACACCATAAACTTTATGTAAACGCCTCCTTGGTGAACCAAACGTCTTTCCGGAGAGCTGAAGATCAGTGGTTCGAGAAAAATGCTATATAATGCTTGTACTTGTTGGTACACTGCCAGTGGCATAGGGGATACAACTGGTCAGCTCAAAGTCTGAGTCGAAGTGGGGTATCCATGTCAAACCGCGGCAAGGTATCTTCGTGGGCTAGGACAATAAAACCGGTATTATTCCCGACCAGTACCATGCAGCCACACACACACACACACACACACACACACACACACACATGCAGGACGCACCTACCTACCTGCACGCACGCACTCACACTCACACACACACACACACACACACACACACACACACACACACACACACACACACACACACACACACACACACACACACACACACACACACACACACACACACTGCAAGGCAGCAACAACTAACGAAGCTCACTCCGCACTAACCCAAAGCAATACAGAGCCATTCACCCCAACCTTAAAATTCTTGGAAATCACTTTGCATGTGGAAAGTTTCGAACATCCATCCCTATATTTTACCAAATATAGGAAAATAACTTGTTCTTCCTTTACGTGACGTTTTTCAATTTATTTTTTATTTCCTTGATCCTTTATGATACCGGCTGTTGCACTATAAATAATACCGTACATCTGGTTCCTTGTGTAATCACGATGTACGAAATACATTGTCTTACAAATAAAACAGTTTCTTACTTGGATACGCTCACATACGAGTGTGAGTGAGTGAGTTGGGTTTAACGCCGCTCTTAACAGTATTCCAGTCATTCCACGGCATGTCAGCTTAATGTGGGAGGAAAGCCCGAAGGGATGCAGGTCTCAGACGTTTACCACGGTAGTGGTGCTGACAAACCTACAAACATAATCGGGGCGAACCGGGATTCGAATCCACAATCATAGGTTACTGGCGTGCCCAAGGGACGCAGCTCTGCACAGCGAATCGCGGCGCCTTAGACGACTGGTCCACTCGTGCTCCCGCTCACATACGAACACCTAGTATCATCACTATTTGATAGTGATTCATAAATACCTGCTCATGATATAGTCGGAATTGTAAAATGGACTTGATTTCTTGTGATATGAAAAGGGTTTTGTCGCGTTTAGTTATTATTGCTCCACAAAGCAGGCAATTGACATTTACATACTTTAAGATTTTAAGCTGGATATCCAGCATATTACCTTAATTCATTTGACCTTATTTCATTTAGTTTAAACTTAATTCATTGTCATGAAAAGGATTGGGCACAAGTTATCACAACTAAGAGCGCCCACTCCCATATATTTCTAAGCTTATTTAAATTAATACATCAAATGAAAAAAGGACAGTAGAGAAATAGAAACGTATGTATATTAACATTGCTCACTCAAACCCTTTGGTTTTCTTTATACAGTCAAGTCTCGTTATATGCATGTACTTCCTAAAATTGGCTTCGTTCACATGATTAGGTGAAGCTGCATTGCCAACTAGTATCAAGTCAATATGAACATAATTTCAGCTTGCCTTTATACGAGTGACGATAATATGTTTCCAGTGGGATCTCGAGGTTGTGATTTTTGTCATGTCAAGAACTGAAACATTATCTCTTTGTAAACAGTGTAATCAATTCAGTTCAATTCTTTCTTCTCAAATCACCACCGACGGTGGTACAAGAGCATTTATGAATAACAACCACAGAGAAATAAATAACATAACAAAATACGTTTTACATTTTGACCTTACAATATGATATACACTTGCAATACATTCAGGCAGATGTTTAAACATGGAAACATTTTTAGTACACGAGGGTTTCTTGTGTTTATACAGGTAAGTACAGGCTAATAATTTGATACAATATATTCAGTCCAAGGGCAAGTTCTTTCTGCGCGTGGTGTACCATTCCAATCGGAAACTGACTGATTGATATACATCATAAATTCGAATTTGCAGACACCATTGTGGGTTGGGAATGAATTTAATCAAACCTGACCCAAACACGACTAAAATTGTAATGAAGTAAAGGGAGCAGTTCCCGTTAAATATACAGTAAACTACAGTTAAAACGAACTCAAAGGGATCACTAATTTCAGTTCGTTATAACCGTAGTTCGTTATAAGCACATATACAGCATAACTACTGCAAATAGTCAGGGGCAAAAAAGTAACTTCGTTATATCCGTCAGTTCGTTATAAGCGTGTTCGTTATAACCGTAGTTTACTGTAAAAAGCGCCTTGATTTCCGTGCACTAACGTTTTATTACGTCATAGTCAAATACAATAAATTTGTGACTAGCATATGATTAAATTTTAATGCATTAATATGAGGTACTTCTGCATTGCTAGCTCATTGTGAAAACAAGCACGTGAAATGTGCTTACATGTGTGAATCTGTTATGTATAATTATTCGTAATTTGTATCACACATGTACCAGTAAAGATCTGTATCTGTTGAATGACATTGGGAGAGTACCGGGGTTTACTGCCAGAAATACAGCCCTTCTGTCAATTTGGGTAATGCAGAAAACTTCAGTGTTGGGGAGTCTTCACATTCTTCTAAACGTTCTCGGTGGGTTTGATTTGGCAGCGCTTCCTGGGGAAGTCCCATTCGCTGTCTGGGCTGCGTGTAGAGGGGGAAAGGCCCTGCGCTGATGATGAGCCTAACCAGCCTGACTGTGCCAGGATTTCCCAAACCATCTTTGATGTAATTTATATTTTAATCTGTATATAATAATAATACATTGTCAGTGGATGCCCAGCTTTGGCACAAACACAATCTCAAGCGACGTGTTGGCGTGCCTCGATCTTTTTATTACCGTATTCGCTATGTTTGTGGTTTAGACATAGAGGTCAATCCATGGTACGACCAAGAAAACGTAAAGGGCGTCATGGAAATGATGATTATAAAATTCTTTGGAATAGGCCCGTATACAGCCTCACACCCGTCCAGGCCATCAAACCTGACCTTGTCCTGTTTGATAAATCCAATGAAAATATTTATATCATTAAATTCTCTGTCCCTTTTGACTTTAATGTGATTGACAAGATTCAGAAGAAACAGAACAAATATGCTGACCTCGCTTACGTAATGTCACTCTAAAGTACCACCTTGTCCGACTCCCTATTGTTCTCGGTGCCTTAGGTTTGGTACCTCCCAATCTGTTGACTGACATTGGGAGAGTACCCGGTTTCACTGCCAGCAATACAGCCCTTCTGACAATCTGAATAATGCAGAAGGCTGCAGCGTTGGGGAGTCTTCGCATTCTCCGAACGGTTCTCAGTGGGTTCCACAAGGCAGCGCTTCCAGGGAGATGTTTCATTCGTTTGTGGGCTGCGTGTAGAGGGGGCAAGGGCCCTGAGCTGATGATGAGCCTAACCAACCTGACTGTGCCAGGATCACCCAAACCCTCTTTGCTGCATTTTATATTGTAATCTGGATATATTAATAACAAAAATAATAATCAAAATAAAAACTTTATGATGATGATGATGGTGGTGATGATGATGTACTTTAAATGTACTTAAAACTCATTCACTATGTTGTGTTAAAATTCGACTGTAAATGCCCATATTATATGTCCTCTGCGACCTTTGTAGATTGTTAAAAGGACACAAGAGGACAAATCGTGTTACTAGTGATCGTAGTGCAATGTTCAACGTGGTGCGAAATTCACTTTTCGTGAAATAATATAAGTAGTACGAGGCACTTGTTAGCTCTTCACCATCAGGAAACGGAGGCACATATGTAGGCCTGTGACAGTACCAGCGAACAGTCGGTTGACCGAGCTATGACCCGTACAGGACCCTGGTACTCACAGCTGGGACTATCCCTTCCGTACTTGACGGCCAGTAATACCGTACTGTTAGTTCACTTCCGTACACTGGTATGACATTGGTTTAACGCTGCTTTGAACAGTATTTGAGTTAATAGCCAATTACCTTCCACTGATTTACCAACCTGATCTAGAAATAGTGAGTGAGTGAGTGAGTGAGTTTGGTTTTACGCCGCTTTTAGCAATATTCCAGCAATATCACGGCGGGGGACACCAGAAATGGGCTTCACACATTGCACCCATGTCGGGATTCGAACCCGGGTCTTCGGCGTGACGAGCGAACGCTTTAACCACTAGGCTACCCGACCGCCCCTGATCTAGAAATAAAGGAGACTACTGAGAACGCCTCATCTGTTTGATATTTAGATCTATGCATAAAGTTTTAGAGTGACAAAACACTCTCCACGAGGCTGTATGACGAGAGATGACTTCAACTTTCCAATTGTCATCTTTCCCTTCATGTCGAGCAATATTCCAGCAGCCCCAGCCTTTGATGTCTAAACTGCACAACGTTTCCGGTACAACCGGTATGCTCTTACTACGCAGATGTCAAGGAGCTTCATACAACTCTTGCTCAGAAGTTGTTTGATCAAGGCTACAACATTCAACCATTTTTTATTCAGTAGAAAGGCCTTAGGCCCACGTACAAAAAATGTCAATTTTGAAAATACGAAAAGACACCCTCGACAAGACTGTATGGCAAGAGGACAAGAGGGATGACTTCAACTTTCCAATTGTCAACTTTCCCTTCATGTTGAGCAATATCCCAGTAGCTCCAGCCTTTCGTGTTTACATTTCACAACTTTTGAGATACAATCATGCTCTCATTCGTGACCAACTCGTGTTATTCCGGGACAAGCCGAATAGCGACTCGTGCCCCTCTCATGGCCATTTTTGCGACCGGGTTCCGTCTTGGCGCAAACAGGCATACCTAAAACAATTGTCAACTCATCGCGTGATGGTTCACATATATATCCCCATATATTATATATATTTCAGATGCAATTTGGCCTTGTAACATATGTCCAAGAGCTTTTCAGGTGACAATGGACTTGTACGTGTATGTGTTTGTGAAGTGTGTCATCAGTGGGGCAGGATACGCGATACCTTTTCGCGAAAACCTGGTACCATCACTGTTTAATTTGATAGTTATTATTAATCACAGGCTCACGATTTAGTCGGAATTGTGCACTGGACTTTGCTTTTAGAAAGTGTTTTGTCGCTTTAATAATATAATTATATCACGGTGTATCTGTTTCATGAGGGAGCTAATATAAAACGTCAATGCCAGAGAATAACCAGTCTCGATTATCCGACGAAACAGATTCCATTTGGCGTACTGCTTTACATAAGACACATCGACACGGTGTAACAGTGAATGGGTGAATGTAGTTGCTCGCCGCAGTCAGCAACATTGTCGCTATGTTATGACGGCCTGCAGATAATCGCGTCTGGGCCAGGCAAAGCAATGATGGACTGGAGGAACGATCAACGCCGTCGGTGCATGCTAAAACTCATAATCTTAATTTGTATTAAGATACATAAAGATACAGGCGCCGCGATTCGCTGTGCAGAGTTGCGTCCCTTGGGCACACCAAAAACCTATGATTGTGGGTTCGAATCCCGGTTCGCCCCGATTATGTTTCTAAGTTTGTCGGCACCATACCCGTGCTCTTGGGTTTCTCCGAAGTGGTAAACGTCTGAGACCTGCATCACTTCGGGCTTTCCTCCCACATTAAGCTGGCACGCAGCGATATAACTGGAATACAACTCACTCACTCCCATGGGTTGATTGACTCGTTCATTATTTTTTATCACAAGTGTAAACAATAATGGTTTCCTTATAATGTAGCTTTACTCACTGAAACAAAACCGTCTACATAATGTATTTGCACAAGGAGACATCAATGCCGCAAAACATACATATACATAAATGTACCATGTTCCTGGTCTAGATAGATGTAAATATGATGGCATGTAGAATCGCTGGCTGGCTGATTAACTGTTAACAATGGCCGCACAAGGTGAATCATTCCGGCCTTTGAAAATCAATGTAAGCAAAATTAAAAAAAGGAATCCTGATCTATTGCAATTTGTGTGGCTTAAGGTAGAATAGATATAAGCACATGTCCATATCACAGTGGGTCTCGCATTTGGCCAAATTAACTGACTGTAGAGCTAACTTCTTTTCCTTTAAAAATCTCAAATATTGTAAATGACATTAGTGTTAAAGGTTAGTTACCGATGCTGATGGGGCTGTGATACCTGCAATCGTGTATATCGTGTATGATTTTGTTTGTTTGTTTGTTTGTTTGTTGTTTAACGCCGCACTCAGCAATATCCCAGCTATATGACGGCGGTCTGTAAATAATCGAGACTGGACCAGACAATCCAGTGATTTATATCATGAGCATCGATCCACGCAATTGGGATCAAGGACATGCATCAACCAAGTCAGCGAGCCTGACCACCCGATCCCGTTAGTCGCCTCTTACGACAATCATAGTCGCCTCTTACGACAATCATAGTCGCCTTTTACGACAATCGTAGTCGCCTTTTACCACAATCATATTCGCCTTTTACAACATGTACAATCATAGTCGCCTCACCGGTAGAGCAGGGCCAGCTTGTCGAGGTGTTGTTTAATAGAAGTAAGATTAGTAAATATCTGAAAAAAGAAATTAAAGTGAGAATTGTTTTCCTTTAGGTTTGATGTTCCAAATATTTAAGTAGTCTCTATGTTCAGTTCGTGTCGATGATATGGTGTGCATGCATTCGACACCACTCGCCCCTTTCCGGAACCTAAAAGAAGACTCGAATGTTTTGTGCGAAAATATGACAAACCAAACAGAATGCGCGTATGACTTCACGTACTTCGGCCAAAGAATCCCTCAGGAATAAATTTTTATTTTACATATGTTTTGCATCTAAAAATATTCCTAAGATACAGTTAAATGTGTTTTATCATACTGTATAATGCCGTAAGTCATGAAGTGTTTTAAATAGCATCTGGAATATATATGGGGGAATATACGTAAATCATTACGCAACGAGTGGACAATTCTTTTAGCTATGCCCGTTTGCGGCTAGACGGAACCCAGTTGCAAAAAAGGCGACGACAGAGGCACGAGTCGCTGTTCGGCTTGTCTCGGAATAACACGAGTTGGTCACGAATGGTGTACATGCGGGAAGGGCTATTATTACATTTGTATACTGTGTATTCATGCTGATTTTCTCCTCATCTTAAGGGGCGGTCGGGTAGCCTAGTGGTTAAAGCGTTCGCTCCTCACGCTGAAGACCCGGGTTCGATTCCCGACATGGGTACAATGTGTGAAGCCCATTTCTGGTGTCCCCCCGCCGTGATATTGCTGGAATATTGCTAAAAGCGGCGTAAAACCATACTCACTCACTCCTCATCTTAAGAACACATGTCGTAAGTATGTAGATACTTCGTCAAAAATCGTCGTTGGTAATAATTAGGATACAAAACTCGTTACCGAGTGGAAAAATTTTGGAGAGTCACAGGTGCCCGAGGTTTGTCAGGGCTTGCCTACCCTTTTCGCGAACACCTCGTGTCGTCACTGATTTTCAGTGATCCGTTCATATACTTTTCACCGCCATTTTGATTTTTACACCCAGTTGGATCTGTTTCGTGGGATACTCTCTGGCGAGGGACAGGGCAAGCTTATTACACAAAGAATATATATTTGATGTATAAGAAATGATAACATGTCTATAAATATTCCAAATACACTGTAACCACCCGATTATCATCTATCACAGGCATGTGGTACGCGGCCCAATTTTTTCTAGATTCACCAAAAAGGCCTATTGCAAATAAAAGTGACAATATCCTTTCCATATTCATAAGAAGAGTTTATTGTAAGATTCCGACTAAATCTTGAGCATAGGTTTTCTGAATCACTGTCGAAAAGTGATAATACCAGGTGTTCGCGACACATTTTAAAAGACGATTTGACGATAAGACTAAAAATAATTATACTTTGGGGATAATTTGCCTAAAAGAGATATGAGTTAACGACTATGTCACATGTTACACGTGTCACACATGTTATATATATATATATATTTATTTCTGTTGCAGGGATTTCTTCAAACATATGGATTTACTATGCAGTTGGCTAAAGAAATCAAAAGCACGGCTCCACAGGACTCAAGGAAGAAAGCAATTAAGTAAGAAACGAAGTTTTGTGTAGTACGTTCAAATTAACCTTTTATATTTCAAAGGGACAAATGTTGTAGTTCCGGCTTTGCCACATGCACATCCTTGTTCAAATCCTGTTACGAGGGAATGAAGAGTCTCCATAGGGATATGAAAAATCTAAATTCGTTTAAAAATGATATATTTCCTGTTTATTTTTTTACATTTGTTTGAAATATAATTATGTCGAAATGAATGTCCGGCTTCTTGTACACGTTTTAATCAACAACCGGCACTGGGAGAAATGTATTACAACATTGACGTTACTAGACACTTCGTAAAGTTGCCTTTTACTATAGACAAATATAACCATACAGTTATCGTAACATCTGTAAATATTTTTCTAAATCTACGTACAAGTATGTTTAGATTGGAACAGTATTTAGTATTTCCAAATATTATCACACTGTACCTTGTTGAGCTCATTCATGAGTGGAAGTTTGCATCGAATTCTGAATGTTTTCATTCCCCTGATCAGCAACGGTGCTCTTACAAAGGTCCACGTTGGTTTCCATTAGCATATATGGACATATGTAGCAAAAAATTGTTCACGTATTGCAATTTTGACATCATATAAAGTACTCTTTACTAGTCTTTGATAATTATCTTCAGGTGTTCGTTCTTATTGTGTTCGGGGGGCACGGGTGGCCCAGTCGTCTAAGGCGCCGCGATTCGCTGTGCAGAGTTGTGTCCCTTGGGCATGCCAGAAACCTATGATTGTGGGTTCGAATCCCGGTTCGCCCCGATTATGTTTCTAGGTTTGTCAGCACCACACCCGTGCTCGTGGGTTTCACCGAAGTGGTAAACGTCTAAGACCTGCATCACTTCGGGCTTTCCTCCCACATTACGCTGACACGCCGCGATATAACTGGAATACTGTTAAAAGCGGCGTTAAACCAAACTCACTCACTCACGCACTCTTATTGTTTTCCCTCCAGTGAGTAGAACGTTCGCCCGGAGAACGGAAGGTCTGTAGTTCAGTTCCCTGGCCTCGTCATGCCGCGTCATACTTACCGTTACGTACCCTGACTGGCACAAAGACATTAAAAGATGGAACTTGTTGTTACCTTGCCTTGCGCTCGGCGATTAGGGTATAACAAACTGGGACTGGTCGGTTCGGAGTCTATTAACTGCGGCATGGTATTGTGGGCAAGCTCTATAAAATCGTCACCAGGCCTGACTCTTACAAGCAGCGACACACATACACGCACGCACGCACGTACGCACACGCACACACACACAGACATACACACACAACACACATATATATATACACACACACACATGCATGCATGTTGATATGTGAGTGAAATAATCCTGAACGCGACGTTTAACCTCATTCACTCACCTTACCTTGTGTTTTGTCTTTGATTCTCGTAATCATTTATTGTCAGCAAGTATATAAATGATTTTAAACTATACGTGATATCTTTCCAGATTATTTCAGAAATATTACGGGTTAGAAACGACGGGTTTGGTTGATGATGCAACGTTCGAGTTGATGACGTCATCAAGATGCGGTGTTCCCGATAACCCTGAAATCTTAGCCAGTTATGATGACAACACCAATACCACGAAGCCTCTCGCCTACAAACTGACAGGTTCGTGTATCTTTTCTAAAAATTAACTGCTGTAATTTGTTTTCGATGAAGTATTACGGCAATTTACGATACAGAGGAACCTACGCAAACCTACAGGGCAAGGATGAACAGAGTTACATCCATTAGTCTTTCCAGGATCCGCTGATGCAAACTCGTGTAACTATGGTCCTTGGTTTGCCAGTGTCGTACCTGTGCTTGTGGGTACCAAGTGGTAAGACCCGTGAAGATCCGGGGTAGAATAGGTCTTCAGCAACCCATGCTTGCCGTAAAAGGCGACTATGCTTGTTGTCAGAGGCGACTAACGGGATCGGGTGGTCAGGCTCGTTGACCTGGATGATGCATGTCATCGATCCCAATTGCGTGGATCGATGTTCATGATATCTATCACTGGATTGTCTGGTCCAGACTCGATTGTATACAGACCGCCGTCATATAGCCAGAATATTGCTGAGTGTGGCGTTAAAGAAAAAAACAAACAAACAAACAAACCAAGTGGTAAACGTATAAGATCAACACCACTTTGGGCTTTCCTCCCTCATCAAGTTGACATGCCGTCATATAACTTTAATATTCTCTATAATGGCGTCATACACAATGCACCACTTAATGGATGATCTGAGTACAGTTCAACGTCCAACAAAGTTGACATGTGTTATATTACTTGTATGTTACTAATCTATACTTTAAGCTAAACTATGTAGAAGACATATATCTGTCTTCTGACGTTGTAACGAAAGGGGAGTATGTGCTCAAATGGTGCTTAAAATCAAACCGTGCCCTTGCATTTGAACAGGAAATACTAGTATTTAAGAAGGAATGGTTATGAAAACCTTACATGAAGCTGTGGTTGTATACTCCCAAGGGAGTTGAGAATGTAATTTGTGTACACACTGGTCCGTTAACGGGTTATAATCGCACGGTATGAGCTTACTGTAGGGAATAGATGCAGCGCATTATTCATAAGAAATTATTATTATGATCATAATTAATAATTATTATGACTATATTTGGCCCATTTAGTTGGAATTGGCTTCATACCAATATCCACATTGCCGTAAAAGGCGACTATGCTTGTCGTAAAAGGCGACTACCAGGATCGGATGGTCATGCTCGCAGACTTGGTTGATGCATGTCATCGTATCAAAATTGCGTAGATCTATGCGCATGATATCAATCGCTGGTTTGTCTTGTCCAGACTCGATTATTTACAGACCGCCGTCATATAGCTGGAATATTGCTGAGTGCGGCGTTAAAGAACAAACCAACCAACCAACCACACATTGCATAGTGTGTGTTACACTCCGGCACGTACAGGATGTGGCATGGGTTCGTGTGAACGTGGTGCAGTAGGTCAATCGGTAACAGCACTAAGTTTTCTCAACCATGAGTGAGTGAGTGAGTTTGGTTTTACGCCGCTTTTAGCAATATTCCAGCAATATCACGGCCCAGAAATGGGCTTCACACATTGTACCCATGTCGGGAATCGAACCCGGGTCTTCGGCGTGACGAGCGAACGCTTCAATCACTAGGCTACCCGACCGCCCCTTCACAACCATGACCAGTGAGCGATTCTCCGTGCTGAGGACGGCTGGTTGTCAGCTGTGGGAAAACGTGGTAAAACGTGGTAAAACGTAGGAAAACGCTGATCACGCAACAACCCTAACGTGCAGACATCTGCATGTAAATTCAAACTACATCTTATGCATGATTAGGAACATGTAACTCTCAGTTAACTTCGATTAACAAAATAATAATATTAACAAGAACATCAATAACAGTGAGTCAGTGAGTTAGTTGTGTTAAACGTTATTTGTAACAGTATTCCAGTTATATCACGGCGTGTATGGTTTTTGTGGGAGGAAAGCCCGAAGTAATGCAGGTCTGGCACGTTTACCACTTTGGTGAAACGTACAAGCACGGTCATGGTGCTGACAAGTCTAGTGAGTGAGTGAGTGAGTATGGTTTTACGCCGCTTTTAGCAATATTTCAGCAATATCAAGGCGGGGGACACCAGAAATGGGCTTCACACATTGTACCCATGTCGGGAATCGAACCCGGGTCTTCGGCGTGACGAGCGAACGCTTTAACCACTAGGCTACCCGACCGCCCCTGCCAAGTTTAGAAACATTTTCGGGGGGAACCGGGATTCATCAGAAATCTACCTCTTTGGTGAAACCTACTAACACGGGTTTGATGCTGACGAACCTAGAAACATACTCAAAGCGAACTTGGATTCGAATAGGTTCCACAATAGTGTGGCGTGCACCAGGGATGCAACTCATAACGAATTGTGGCGCATCAGATAACCCGTAGTCTCAACCTAAATGACATTTATAGTACACGATAAGAGTCCGACAGTATCATAATCAAGTGTTTATGAATCACTACCAAACAGCGATGATATCAGATACTCCTCTCTCATTTGATGATGTAAAATGCAGTGTTGACTTATTTGGCTGAAAATGGACACCATGAGGTTTTAGAAAGATTTATGGGGGCACGGGTGGCCCAGTCGTTCAAGGCGCCGCGATTCGCTGTGCAGAGTTGCATCCCTTGGGTACGCCAGAAACCTGTGATTGTGGGTTCGAATCCCGGTTCGCCACGATTATGTGCTCGTGGGTTTCACCGAAGTGGTAAACGTCTGAGACCTGCATCACTTCGGGCTTTCCTCCCACATTGAGCTGACACGCCGCGATATAACTGGAATCATGTTAAAAGCGGAGTTAAACCCAACTCACTCACCCACTCAAGATTTATATTCTTTAAGACTAATATTTAAACAATTCCAAATTTTAATATTCTTTACGTGCTGTTGAGGTTTACATTCATCCTAGTACTGAAGAGCAGGTTTAAATAGAAAGAAAATGTGAGCTGTGACCTTGGATCCCCTAAGCATGAAAACTTCATAAAATTAACCTAGACAAGTGGTTTGGTGTGTACACGGATGACTGAGCAAATGCCATAATGACAAAATCATCCTTATCATTATAAGTATACATGGAATACAGTTTGTTTGTTGTTAACGCCGCACTCAGCAATATTCCAGCTATATGACGGCGGTCTGTAAATAATCGAGTCTGGACAAGACAAACCAGTGATTGATATCATGCGCATAGATCTACGCAATTTGGATACGATGACATGCATCAACCAAGTCTGCGAGCATGATCACCCGATCCCGTTAGTCGCCTCATACGACAAGCATAGTCGCCTTTTATGGCAAGCATGGGTTTTAAAGACCTATTCTAATCCGGATCTTCATGGGTGGAATACAGTTTATGTAGTTTTAAACGAAATATTTAATACGGGGCGATCTAGTTTTTCGAGACAAGCGAATGCTGATCTAAGGCAATAATGACGACAGACATAACCTTTGGACTACACAGTTACATCGCTTAAACGATATATCGATTAAAATCAGTCGGGCTTTCGAGGTATCTCTGTGTGTTCGTGTAGCGAGTGCATCGTAGTTGGTGTCTAGTTCCGCATCACCAGTGATGCTTGTTACGGATGAAGAAAATGAAGAGGGCACAAGTGGTTGACAGTTTCATATTGTACGATCCTGGTAATTGAAACACTACTTACACATGGTAGGCCTTGACACAGTTTCAGTATGTAAACACTTTGTTTAGATGCGTTTGGAGTGCCATAATTCATGTTTGTTCGTTTTAACTTTGTTGTTAAACGCAAACAATATTCCACATTCAACAGTATTCCAGCTTTTTGTTATTGTCTTCAAAGGAACATGGGACCCGTGAAGATGCGGGGTAGAATAGGTCTTCAGCAACCCATGCTTGCCGTAAAAGACGACTATGCTTGTCGTAAGAGGCGACTAACGGGATCGGGTGGTCAGGCTCGCTGACTTGTTTGATGAATGGCATCGTGTCCTAATTACGTGGATCGATGCTCATGATATCAATCACTGGAATGTTCGATCCAGACGCGATTATTTACAGGCCGACGTCATATAGCTGCAATATTGCTGAGTGCGGCGTTAAACAACAAACAAACAAAACATAGAAGCGTCAGGTGAACTTTAAATCAGCAAATCAGCTTCTAAATTATCGGTTCGAGTGAGCGAAGTATCCATACAAGCATATATGATTCCTGTATCTTGAAACGAATATAATCGGGGAGTTCTGAATGCAAACTGATAAAGCCGCGCTTTCGTATTGTTGTGGCTATTTTATACATGCTGTTGTTTCTGAGCACCATGGCATCGACCCACACAAAGGTGTACTATTGTATTATTGTGTGTGGTTTCTGTTGCTATCATCGAAATTTCCGGTGGAAAAGAAATGAAGTCGAATCCTTTCAAAAATCGGAAATCTGATCAAGAACCCACTCATATTCATTCAGACTGGACGATTTGCGCTTCGCTGTCATCTGGTGCAACCTCCTATGGAGGTGTCTTTAGATCTTCAGGTAATAAAGTATTATATGAGAGTACGAGATTATTACTTGCTCATAATATATCAAACATATGAACAAACTAATTCACATGTATTCTGGTACATACAGGTCCTAAATGGAAATATTCAACTATTCGATGGGGAATTTCCCAGTTTACAAGCCAGCTGCAACGTGAATCACAACGGTGAGTACACTTCTATGTTATAGTACGCCCAAATGTTAAATTTGATGATTGCAAAATTTCAAATATGTGACATTTGACATTCTCAATCATTGTGACCAAATCATAACTACGTTTCACCCGAAAACCCTGGATTGTACATATCATGGTTAATTCAATAACCCTCATGGGTACAATGTGTGAAGCCCATTTCTGGTGTCCCCCGCCGTGATATTGCTGGAATATTGCTAAAAGCGGCGTAAAACCATACTCACTCACTCACTCACTCACTCAGGTATCCTCCGCACGTAAATGCCTAACATTGCAAGAATGGCGTAAAACCCTAGTCGTAGATTTCGTCTACGTTTATGAAAAAAGACATGTCTTATGTTTATTCATTTGTTTGTTCCTTCAAAATGCTGATGGCATAATATTCAATATGTTATCATCAACAGGATAAGGAAGAGAATATATGGATGTCAACTTCTTTATTATAAGGAACAGAACGTTTCGGAGTATATGCTTACTCCTTCATCAGGTGAATGGACTAAGCATATACTCAAAAACGTTGTGTTCCTCATAATAAAGAAGTTGACCTCAATATATTCTCTTCCTTATGTGTATCATTTCTAAATGCCTTTCAAAGATCAACTGGATAGTATGTTATATTGGATATATAAAATGTCATGACCAGAGAATAACCAGTCTCAATTATCCGCCCAAACAGAATTCATTGGGCGTAAAAGGCAAAATAGCGGTGACAATTATATGAATGGATCACAGACAATCAGTGATGGCACTAGATGTTCGGGAAAAGGGCAAGCATGTCCTGCCATGGACACGGCTGAATAAAGCATTATGAAAAGGTTATACCCCACTGGGACAAAAACCACGATGTCAACACCTGGTGTTCAGAATCTGTCAAGTAAGAAGAACGTGGAAGTTGTTCGGTTGTATTTTGAAAAGCAGTAACCTTAAAGAGTAATAAATAATGCTGCTTCTATCAAATCATAACGTGCCTCGTTATCTTTAAATGTGAGTAATCTCTGTTTCAGAAAGAGTTTGACTGATGCGTTTCAACGATGGCAAGCTGTGTCTGACCTCAAATTTGTCTATTCCGAAGACAAGCCAGATATTGACATCAGATTTGTCTCCCGGGATCATGGCGACGGAAGTGCTTTTGACGGACGAAGCAACAAGATGAAAGGTTAGCTTCAGATACACATTGTAGGAAGGACTTGGCTGTACTTGTGTACGGCGTCAGGAAACAAACACGTCCTGCAAATCGTGTGAGATGTGAGATGCTACCGGTAGGCAGGACATACCCTTTTCACGGAGAAGTGGTGTCATCCCTGATTTTTAGTGATCCATTCATATATTGTTCACCGCCATTTTAGCCGTGTTCATTGTACAATATAGAGCAATATTTCAGCTACATTTCATATCTTGGTATAATAATTTTATTCCTATATATTATTTGTATTTTTGATTTTTTTATTCCATAAAGGTGAAAATATAAATCAGGCTGAGTCACAAAATTGTGCAAAAGAACACAAGTAAAGACATTTCCAGATCACTTAGCATAATTTCATCCTTTAAGGCTCATCTGAAAACACACCTTATTATAATGACTCTGAAACATAATTTGTTTGTTTTTAGAAATATAATTAACATATTATTATCTTTTTCAGAGAATTATGTATTTATCCCTTACTTTTTACAATGTTATCCCCTAAAAAAGCACAAACATATATTAACCTTTGTATGTATAATTATAAATGGTTGTAGGCATACAGGAAAAATTGGCATGAAACCATTCTTCCGGTGCTGCTTCCTGACTAAAAGTTCATGTGGAGAGCGAGTGCCTTGGGTGTAACATAATTGAACAGTATTTCAGTTATATTACGAAGAAAACACAAAGTGATGTCCGAGAATAAATGGCAGTGATTTTGGCCTTCGTATTGCAGGGTTAGGCGTTTGGCCACAAACAATCTTTGTTGAAAATTGTGTGTTTGGCGGATGCTACCAATACAGCAGGACATGCTTACCCTTTTCGCGAATACCTGGCGTCATCACTATCTTCAGTGACCCATTCATGTAATTATCACTATTTTACCCTTCACGCCCAATTGAATCTGTTTTGGCTGAGAGTAATTGCGACTGAATATTCGCTAAAGTTGATGTAGTGGCTGTATTGTGCGTGTGTTTCAGTATTTCAGCTTCATCCCGCATGTTATCCTTCAGTGTCGAGGTTTTATAAAGTGTGTGTGTGTGCGTGCGTGCGTGCGTGCGTGCGTGCGTGCGTGCGTGCGTGCGTGTGTCTTTCGTTTGCAAAATCAGGGGGTCGGGAGAACCCCACGAATTGGTCGGTAAACTAACAGTATATATCTTATGAAAGCCCTTACTGCATAATATCACACGTGTGCAATGCCCATGACAGAATACAGTAATACGAACTCCTAAACTGATACATATTTTATGAAATGGACATAAATCGAAGTTGAAGTTGTTGTTGTGATGACAATATAAATATGAAAGTATACATTTTTTTAATCTTTTATATCATTATTGATTTCATAACAAATATCTTTAACAGTAGGCACGCATCAGCATCACAAAGCACATCTTTGCGCACAGACTGGTTAAGCACAGACCATTCCTATGTTGAAGTTCCGATGAACAATAGCTTTCAGTAGTAAAGAGAATGCAGATTCTTCAGACACTTTAAACACTTAGCAGCCATTTTATATCCATCATACTGACAAACCAGTGTGGTTAATCAACACAAAATATATATTACAAAACAGTAGTAAAGACAACACACAGGTATCACTAATGATCAAAGGTCAATGAACACAGAATGGAAGTGTGTATTACAAAGGTTCACTAAAGGCAACACACAAGTTTCGCCGTCATACAGCTGGAATATTGCTGACTGCGGCTTTGAACAACAAACAAACAAAACAAACACACAAGCTTCACTATTGACAAAAGTAAGTGGAGAGCAAGCTAATATAAACCTACGCTATTTAGGCCACCTATTGATATTTCGGCATGTGGACCTTCTACCTTTTTGGTGTGGCCCTTGTAACTAGTGTGTCTGTGGTCCTGTTGACTTTTTAGTGTTGCCCTTTTGACTTTTTAGTGTTGCCCTTTTGACTATTTAGTGTTGCCCTTTTGACTTTTTAGTGTTGCCCTTTTGACTTTTTAGTGTTGCCCTTTTGACTCTTAGTGTTGCCCTTTTGACTATTTAGTGTTGCCCTTTTGTCTTTTTAGTGTTGCCCTTTTGACTATTTAGTGTTGCCTTTTTGTCTTTTAGTGTTGCCCTTTTGACTATTTAGTGTTGCCCTTTTGACTTTTTAGTGTTGCCCTTTTGACATTTTTGTGTTGCCCTTGTAACTAGTGTGTCTGCGGTCCTTTTGACTTTTTAGTGTTGCCCTTTTGACCAGTTCCCCGTTCCTTTAGGTGTAATGGTTACTGACCTTGTAGAATTGTGTCATGTAAAATGTGAGAATTAAGAAAATACGCAAATACTTACAACTCATGCCATAGGACTCTGTATATTTACATTTAAATGAAATACGCAACACCATTTCAACATGATACGTGATATCACATGCCTACACATTGCTATCACAGCAACACAGGATCATGTTACGGTGTGCTGGTTGTAAGCCATACAGATCCTGAAACAAATATATCAAATACAGCCCGTGCAAGTCTATAATATTTGTCAACTTCTTTGAGACTCTGAGGCATTTAGAAGTTGGAGTACAAGTACGTTTCGATGTAGGTTCTAACACTTGCTTGATAACGATATTAAAATCTACACCGAAACGTCGCTCCTAATTGTAATAAAGAAGTTGCTCATCCATATATCTTATCCTTACTTAATATTTGGCAAGTCTAGATTACTGCAGTATTAGGAAATGAAGAAAGTCTCTTGGCTCCTTTTTATTATATTTTATAACTATAATTTAACCACTTTTTTTTTTGCAGTAAAATATGTTCATTTCAGAGACTTAATGTTAGTCTAGTGTACGGGAGGCGTACCATAAACCTATGATCGTGGGTGAACAATTGACTTGCCTCTGCATGTGTTTGTGACGGGTGCCACTGGTGGGGCAGGATACGCTCACCTTTTGGCGAACACCTGGTATCGTCACTAGTTGATAGTGATTCCTAAACACATGCTCATGAGAAAGTCGGAATCGTAGAATTGACTCTGCTTTTGGAAGAGATTTCTGATGAATATGGAAAGGGTTTTGTCGCTTTTATTCATTCGCATCCCGGTTCGCCCCGATTATGTTTCTAGATTTGTCAGCACCATGCCCGTGCTCGTAGATTTCACCAAAGTGGTAAACGTCTCAGACCTACATCACTTTGGGTTTTCCTCTCACATCAAGCTGACACGCCGTTATATAATTGGAATACTGCAACGTAAATCACTTGGTAACGGCATACATGTTACTGACCTAATTACAACATCACGTGTCAATTCTCTGTTTATTAGGCAATGTGCTTGCTCACGCCTTTCCCCCCGGAAGTGGAGGATTGTCTGGAGACGCCCACTTTGACAACGATGAGCTGTGGACGATTGACGTTGACAACAAAGACTGGGAAAGGAAGTACTTAGAGAAAGTTGCTGCGCACGAGTTTGGCCATTCGCTCGGCTTGCAGCACTCAAACGTTGATGGGGCACTTATGAGCGCTTACTACTCAGGCGTCAAGAGAACATACGACCTCTCTGATGACGACATCAATGCCATACAATATTTATACGGTGTGTGTATATGGGACTAATGCCATAAATAGATTTAATTGCCTCTTGATACATATTTTGATGTTATATAAGGCAACGGATTTGATATGGATGTTTTCTGTGTGTGACTTTGTTAAATACGCGTGACCAATCAGGAGAAAAGGTACCTTATGGGTGCTAGAGTACAACTGTGCTATGACGTCATAAAGTGTTGTGACGTCAACTTACTTCAGTGAAGATCACCATGTGTGATGTCATATATCTCTGTAATAATATAAATTGAAGGTTGTGAACTAAAACATTTGGTGTGTGGAAGCATTCTTACATGGTCGACCCTCATGAAAAATATTGGCGCAATTGCATCAAAAATCATGACTTGAGGCCGAACTATAAATACATCAGCGATTCGAATTTTTTCATATGCATGACTTTTACGCCATGAGAGCTATTCTCCAAAGTATTAGTTTCAGAACTGGCGCAATTGCATTAAAAAATCATCATGACTATTGAAACCAACGAGAAATGTTTATCCCATATTGATGTATTTGATACGGATATCACGGGCGATATTACCTGCATCATACTAATGAGTATCTCACTAGTGCAGTGAGTGCAGATTACGTGCACATGACGTATTAATACACAGTGGTCGCAATATGACAGTTTTGAAGTGTATACTTTCTTTAGCCAGACAGTTTATATCCATAAAGGATATCCAGAGTTCAATGTAACCCTATCGATGGTTAATGTGTGGCTTGAGCTTAACATGTTTGAGAGTTTTATTTATGTTTGGTACAGGAAAGCCAGATGGATGGTTTCCAACGCTAGGAGGTTTCGTACCAACACGAGCTCCCACAGTTCCAACGTGTAACAGTCTCTTCCAGGCTGTTGTGTGGGGTATGTCTAAACTTAGAGAGTTAGTTTGGCGTCACGCTATGAAGATCCGGGGTAAGAATAGGTCTTCAGCAACCATGCTGGCCGTAAAAGGCGACTATGCTTGTCGTAAGAGGCGACTAACGGGATCGGATGGTCAGGCCCGCAGACTTGGTTGACGCATGTCATCTTATCCCAATTGCGTGGATCGATGCTCATGACGTCAATCATTGGATTGTCTTGTCCAGACCATTATTAACAGACCGCCGTGATAAAGCTGGAATATGGCTGACCAGCTGGAATTTTGCTGAGTGTGGCGTTAAGCAACAAACAAACAAACTGGTGTTACGCTGTTATGAAAGGTATTCCAGTGATCAGCTTCGGGAGGAAAGCCCAAAGTCTGAAGGTCTTAGACATTGTGGAGGCAAACGAAGAATCATAATAATTAAGAATCTCTCATTCGAACCCATGATCATCAGATTCTTGCACGTCTAAAGTATGCACACTGCACCGCGAATCGCACACTCTCTATGTTTGTCGCCAGTGTCACATTTATGGTACGTTTCCATTGTCATTCTAATGTTATGTTTTCAGTGTCGCCCTCATGGTATGTCTCCTGTGCTACAATAATTGAAATAACTTTTCACACAGGTACTGACAGAAAGGCATATGGGATCTACATGGACCTAGCATATGCAATCAATGACGGGCGGTATGCTCAAGGTATCCCACAGAGGCTGCAGACTGTGTTCCCTGGAGCACCCGTGGAGGTGGATTTTGCTTTCACGATGAACCAAAACAGACGAACAAAGACCTTCATGTTTATGGGTGAGTGTCACATTCATCACCCCCCGTATAACCATTATTTAAAATCTCCTGGCCGCTTCATATCAAAAAACGTTATGAAATTTTACTTGTTACGCTGTCAGGTCTTCGGCATTTACAGCGTTTTGTCGTCAAATGGGTAATATGTAAATATTGTTAAAAGTGGCGTAATACCATTCACACTGAGTCTCATCCGTTATGTTAAAGTACACACACAGTGTTAGGTGTTTGTTGTATGAATATAGGTTTGGGTTCGAACAGTCAAATAGTCCGAGCATCTGTGCCAGAATTGCTGTATTGGCTGTCAAGCTATGACAATGGTAGATGTATATTATGTCTTTTAAATACTATTTTCCTTATGAAAACATTTCCCATAATGCAAACTCAAGATATGATCTAATTCCCTTCAAAATAATTCCAGAGACATCCTGTTTGAAATAGTATGCGTTATTTACGTGACATTCAGTTAACAGTTACTCCTATGCATTCGATCATAGGTAGTTTGATTTGTGATTTGATACTTTGTGATTTGATTTGATACCTTGGAATCGAATCGAGTAATCGAGGTAACATATATAATATAAGTATTTTACGAAATATATTTAGGAATAAAATCATATGATATGTCCATGTATTAAGAGTAATAGTTCGTCACGGACGAAGTGAGAAAGGTAATACCCCAGCAGATATAACACTACCTGAGATGACCAGAGATAACACTACCTGAGATGACCAGAGATAACACTACCTGAGATGCCAAGAGCTGCTTGTGAAGGTTTGCACATACTAGGATAACTACGATGACCCATTTGAGACAAAACACCGGTACATACTATAGGGACGTATGACCTTGACAGTTACATGACAACGTTTATTCATAGAAACTCATGCTTGTCATAAGAGGCGACAAACGGGATCGGGTGGTTGATGCATGTCATCGATCGATGTTCATGATGTCAATCACTGGATTGTCTGGTCCAGACTCGATTATTTGCAGACCGCCGTCATGTAGTTGGAATATTGCATAGTGCGGCGTTAAACAACAAACAAACAAATCATAGAAACTCAATTTAATCACTGATTTGGCACCAATTTGAGGCAAGTTCAACTGATTCAAAAACAGAATTTTAAACTAGACTAAAATTGAAATGAAATACTATTTCTACAATATATTTACCTTGGTTTCAGGTCCTAGCGTTTGGCGGTTTACAGGATATACCCTCGACAGGGACTACCCCAAGGGCTTCAATGTCGGCCAACTGCCAGAACCGCCGATCTCAGCTGTAGCGGTGGCTGAAAATGGCCTCCCGTCCATATTCATGTTTGGGGTGAGACCATCACCCTACATCTCAGCAGCGATGCTCGATTCAGTGTCTTATGATACATACCCTGACACATTCGCCACTGGTATTGAATTGGGCCAGAGTATACGTAGAGTCGAGGAAGAATTGTCTTCCATTCTAGTTTCAGTGACCATTGTATTTGTTGATGTGTCTTACTACCTAGCACCGAGATATAGATAAGAAAACCATTGTTAGGTTATTGTTATTATCAAGAGGTTGGCGGCGGTCGGGTAGCCTAGTGGTTAAAGCGTTCGCTCATCATGCCGAAGACCCGGGTTCGATTCCCGACATGGGTTCTATGTGTGAAGCCTATTTCTGATGTCCACCGCCGTGATATTGCTAGAATATAGCTAAAAACGGCGCAAAACCATACTCACTCTCACTATCAAGAGGTTATTACTCTAGTCCCAAAACTTATTCTAAGGCTGCTAGCTAGTAGTTTCTTGATGAACCAGATTTCGCATGAAATGTGTTTCCAGGAACTTCAAAATGTCAATAAAGAACTATAATGCAGCAAGAGTTGTTTCCCCTTTCAGCGAACAAAATGGTGGATCTGGGACGAGACCCACTACAACGTGGTACGTCCAAAGGGATTGGACTTTCAAGGTTTCTGGTCTCACAATCCTTCCAAATATCCCCTTGTCACAAAATATACTGACGGGGACGTATATTTTATTCACAACGATAAGTACGTTTGCAAGATTTTCCCTCTTTCTAGATTATAATAGGTCTTTCTGTCTCTTTTCTTCCATGTGTTGTCTCTCGGCCTACATGTACTGGGGTACTTCAGGATGTTTTTTGCCATTAACGTCTTTATTGTTTGCAACGACGTTTCTTGCCCCTAATAGTTGAATGCTTGTGATATAAACTGCACAAAAAAAGTTAGGGATCATGAATATATTTGGGAATATTTCTTGTGAAATACACAATTTCCCAAAATTATCCCCCAAAATATTCATTTTCTCTAACTTTTTGTGTTCGGTATATGTTATGAGGAGGCAAGATGTAACCCGAAACGTCGTTGCGAACATTAAAAATATTGTTACCTTTTCATGTCTTCATTAATGCTCTCGAACTGTTTTAAAGGTTCTTCACTCGACATCAGTCTCGTATTAATATTATCATGAGTGTAATTGGAGGTTGTTCCCACTAGTGAGCACAATCGAATAATAGTATAACTCGACAACATGACACGGGTTGTTCCTCAACAGTTAAACACGACCAGTATTCAATGGTCTGGTGTAAGTTTTCTGTGTATGTCTGGACGTTGGTATCTCGTTCATAGACGGTACTACAGACAAGAACGCTGGCCGAAATCAGAACAGGGTGAAAAGGGAAAGTGGTTGGATAGCGGACAATCCAGTGATTGATATTATGAGCAGCGATCCACGCCGCCAGGTTACAATGACACGCAATCAACCAAGTCACAGAACCTGACCACTTGATCCATTTGGGCTCCTCTTGCGACCAGTAAATGTTGTCGTGGACGTATTTCAATCTGGAATCTTCACGGGTCCATTTACAAAAGCAATCCATTTAAGCCTTGATGTTTAAACAATTTACTTGCTTTTGCATGTGTTTGTGACAGGTGTCACTGGTGGACCAGGATACGCTCAACCTTTCGCGAACACCTGGTATAATCACAATTTGATAGTGATTCATAAGCACATGCTCATGATTAAGTCAGAATAGACTCTGCTTTTAGCAGATATATCTAATGACTTTGGAAAGAATTTTGTTGATTTGATTTACTCATTGGCCGTAGTGCATGTTATTATTTCCTCCCGTGCAAAGTATGTCGATCAGAAATCTATGTAGGCGTATATACAACGACGTACCTTGTTTTAATCCGATTGTAGGAGATTCTTAATCTCAATGGAAAACAATAATAATAAAAAATAATAAATAATAATAATAATAATAATAATAATAATAATAATAATAATAATAATAATAATAATGTGTAATGTGTAATGCTTACCCTTTTCGCTAACACCTGGTCCCATCGCTGATTTTCAGTGATTCATTCATATAATTTTCACCGATAATTTTGCCTTTCACTCCCAATGGAATCTGTTTCGTCATAAAGTCGAGTTATTCTCTGGCGTTGACGTTTTAAATTTTAGAAACTATGCTGTTCATGTACATGTAGATTTGAAGGTACTGAATCACATGTGGGTGAGTCAACTGCCGACTCAGGGGTATCATCTTGACAGTCACCTTTCACATAACGTGTCCATGTAGATCGACGGTTTAATAGAATATGGTAATCTTTAGAAGCGCAGACAGTGTAATGGCGTCTGTTATACTGTTATGATATCATTTCAGTCACGTGAGGTTGAACGCACGAACTGCCAGGAGTGGATATCCAAAGAAGGGGGTACCCGAGTGGATACTCCAGTCTTGTCCGAACACGTAAGTTAACCTGGAAACACCCTACGCCTAATACCTAACTAACTATTTGATAACGAATTTGAAACGAAATCATTGTTAACCTTCTGGTACCGGAGAATTAAAATCGAGTGCACAATGTTGTGACGTCGTGAGCATTCATTTAAGTAAATTATTATATACAGATTAATATAAATAAATGCAGCAAAGAGGGTTTGGGTGATCCTGGCACAGTCAGACTTGTCAGCCACATCATCAGCTCAGGGCCCCTGCCCCCTCTACGCCTCCAAGTAAGTGCTGCCTTGTGGAATCCACCGAAAACTTTTCGAAGAATGTGAAGACTCCCCAACACTGCAGTTTTCTGCATAACCCATATTGTCAGCAGGGCTGTATTCCTGGTAGAAAAGCCGGGTACTCTCCCAATGTCAGTCAACAGATTGGGAGGTGCCAAGCCTAAGGCATGGAGAACAATGGGGAGTAGGACCACTATGTACTTGGGAGGCAAGCGTGACATTTCGAAAGCGAGGTCCGCATATTTGCCATGTTTTTTCCTGAATCTTGTCAATCATATTAGTGTCAAAAGGGACAGAAAAGTTAATGATGTAAATGATTTCATTGGATTTATCAAAAAGGACACGATCAGGTTTGTTGGCCTGGAAAGGCCTGAGGCTGTAAACGGGCCTATTCCGAAAAATTTTGTATTTGATAATTTTTGACGACCCTGGACGGACCTCTGAGTCAAAACCACAAGCATGCCGAAGACGGTCATAAAAAGATCGAGTCACTCCATCTTGTCGCTTAAGATACTGTTTGTGCCAAGGCTGGGCATCAATGTGTTGTTGGACAGTCTCATTAAATTCATTACATAGTCTACATTTCATATTTACATTTTGATGCAAAATCACACATTGACGGTTATTATTATTGTTGTTTGTGTTATCATTATTTTTATTATTATTACACCAAGGTAATAACAATGCTGCTCGATGGGTATTCACCTGAGTGCTACTTTGCACTGAATTCTTCTGCTTCTTCTTATTATTACCCGACCAATAGTCGGCCAATAAGGATGTACCCTGGTCTTTACTGACAGTATTCCAATTTCTAATTTAGTTTCTAACTCTAATTCATATAACCACCCAAAAGAAAAACACGTGGGTGGCGCTACATTCTGCTTGTTAATTTCCGTGAAATTCTCACGATGCTAAATAAACATAAGCAAACTATTCACATAATTAACATGCATAATCGTTTCATTAATAATATTTCATTCTTTTTTCCAGGGCAACAACAGCAAGCAGGACGGACTATATTGGCTCCATCGTATGTGCCCTGTTATTGCTGTGGACAACTATATGGAGGCACTAATCATATGTACATTGACTCTTTGCTCAAAGTTTTATATTTCTCTCAGGACGCATCCAACATTACTTGGAATTTCCGTTATCATATACCTTTGTGGATAAAAGTACGATTCAGAGAATCAGTAAATTATAAACAATTGCACTGAATTCTTAGCGACCGACTCTTTGATAATTCAGTGGGTACGGGGCCTTGGCCTTGGTTCATAGTTTTCATTAAAAATATATCTTGTTGTGCACCTGTAGCCGAAAAAATAAGAAGTTAGGCTCATAGTTTACATTAAAACTTTATCTTGTTGTGCACCTGTAGCCGAGAAAATAAGAAGTTAGGCTCATAGTTTTCATTAAAAATATATCTGGTTTTGCACCTGTAGCCGAATAAATAAGAAGTTAGGCTCATAGTTTTCATTAAAAATATATCTGATTTTGCACCTGTAGCCGAAAAAATAAGAAGTTAGGCTCATAGTTTTCATTAAAAATATATCTGATTTTGCACCTGTAGCCGAATAAATAAGAAGTTAGGCTCATAGTTTTCATTAAAAATATATCTTGTTGTGCACCTGTAGCCGAATAAATAAGAAGTTAGGCTCATAGTTTTCATTAAAAATATATCTGGTTTTGCACCTGTAGCCGAATAAATAAGAAGTTAGGCTCATAGTTTTCATTAAAAATATATCTGATTTTGCACCTGTAGCCGAATAAATAAGAAGTTAGGCTCATAGTTTTCATTAAAAATATATCTTGTTGTGCACCTGTAGCCGAATAAATAAGAAGTTAGGCTCATAGTTTTCATTAAAAATATATCTTGTTGTGCACCTGTAGCCGAATAAATAAGAAGTTAGGCTCATAGTTTTGATTAAAAATATATCTGGTTTTGCACCTGTTGCCTAAAAAATAAGAAGTTAGGCTCATAGTTTTCATTAAAAATATATCTTGTTGTGCACCTGTAGCCGAAAAAATAAGAAGTTAGGCTCATAGTTTTCATTAAAAATATATCTTGTTGTGCACCTGTAGCCGAAAAGATAAGAAGTTAGGCTCATAGTTTTCATTTAAAATATATCTTGTTGTGCACCTGTAGCCGAAAAATAGGAAGTTAGGCTCATAGTTTTCATTAGAAATATATCTTGTTTTACACCTGTAGACGAAAAAATATTTAGCCTCCGAACAAAATCACAGCCCCTCCCCCCTCCCCTCTCTTACCACACCCACTCACCAGAATACAAAAGTTTCCCTTATAATAGTATACCTTTTTGAGACCTATTCTGCAGTGTGTAAGGAAGTGAACGAAACCCAGTAATAATCCTGCTATAAAGCGGTGGTGGCTAGGCCCGGAAAACAGTTACTGAAAACATGAGCAACGGTCGAGTCGGACCACCCGATCCACTTTAGTCAGCATTTAACAAATCATACTTGGGCCCAGATCTGCACCGGACCTCAAGTGCCATGGAAACACATCCAGCAATCTTACATAAACTATAGGCAAAATATAAGTACATACTATTTTTAGATGTAATAAACACTAAGTTTGTTAGGTATCCACATTTGTTTTTACGATAGCATTAATGTTAACATGATACTTTAAATATTTATGCAGTACTTATATATATGTATATAGAGCATGTATATGAAATTATATATAAATATATGTGCATGTATATATTTTGAGATGCAAATAATACAGATGGGGTAGTGCTGTATAACTTTGTGAAGAGACTTTCTATTATTGTAAATAACTTTGTTCAAGAATAATGAAGGATTGTAAAAGATTCTTATGTGTATGACCGTATTTATGTAATGAATGGAATAAATCAGTATTGTTTATGTATAAACACTGGTTGTTAAATTATTATCTTGGCTTGACTTTCACAAACATGAACATATTTATGATTTGTATACGATTTCGATTGGAATGTGATGATACGTACCCACATGTGCATACCCCTATGTAGAGTGAACCTAATTATGTTTCAAAACGTTTTAACTGTATAGCCGAATTTATTGGATCCACATCGTACCAATAATAATATTCCATAAAGAATATATCCGGTCGCCTAGTTTCATTTGAAAATAAATGATACATGATAATTTTAATTTTAAAAATCAACTTATAATATATACACACTATTTACAAGGTTGAATGGTTTATCACATATCGATTCTGCAAAAGGTCTGTACTCTCATGAATTTTATAAATCTTTGAGGAATTGATTTAAACCCGTGTCTATACGAGCAAACAAACTACAAGTCTATTATAAAAGTGCTCGAAGCAACCGTACAATATTGGTTCACTTTCACCTCGTCTGTGTGAAGGACCCGGGTTCGAGACATGGGTACAATGTGTGAAGCTCATTTTTGGTGTCCCCCGCCGTGATATTGCTGGAATATTGCTAAAAGCGGCGTAAAACCATACTCACTCACTCCGGCCTGTCCCACATTGAAGCACGTGTTATATTTGTCCTCTCAGATTGGTGTACCGAAATATGCCTGTTTATCCAGAGTACTTGGTATTCGGTAGGATGAGATGGTCTCGGGAAGTAGTTGGATTGGGACCGACTTGGGGCTTGACTTCTGAGAGTCTATTTTGCTTCTGTGGTGCCCCACACTGAAACACATATTACATGTGTCTCCTCAGACTGGTGACTTTGTTCGTAATATGCCTCTGTTCACCCAGAGTAAATGGGTATCCTGCAGGATGAGATAGTAATGAATGTCAGTTTTCAAGCGCCTTAGGTTGTATACTCCCCAGGAAGCCAATACTAATATTTACTGGCGTCTTCTGTCCGCGCTTATCCGGGTCGGCATAGGTCAGCAGCTTTGCTTATCGTTGGAGGTGACGAAATGGAATCAGTAATCAGTAAGCCAGACTGGGTCACTTGGTTGTCAGCGTGTTGTCGTGCACTGACTGAATGAGTCGGTGCGCATAACATCAACCACTGATTTGCCTGACCCACACTTGATTGTGTACAGGTTGCCGTGATCACCTGGGTAAAAGCTTGCTAAGGCATTAAGCAGCACCCAACCACACACTCTTGCGCTTTCTGTAGAGTAATCTTGATCAAAACACTGAAGCTACCACTGAACAAAACACTTCATTCCAAACTTTTCAACTTATGCAACGCGGGAATCCCCTCCCAAAACAAACAGATAGACAGACAGGCAGACAAACAAACGAAAAGCATGTTTTACCTTACCTGACGCTACACACTAGCGTCAGGTAAGTATAAAAAACATTGCATTTAATCAGAAATGCACTTTGGGCTATACAAAAACACGGGCATTATCAGACATCCTAAGACTGTGCAATCAAAAGAAATATATCCCATTTGGAATGTTCTTGGAAAACCATTCTGCTCTTGAATATTTTGGAATGCATATTTATATTAATATAGCTACATAACTTCTTCAGAAGTTCAGGATAATTTGTCAAAAATGAAAGCAAATGCCAGCTGATGTTTAATGAGAAAATACTATGTGAAATGCTGCACTTCATTATAATTGATAACATCTATGTAAAACATTGTGGAAACAAATTGTGATCCCCTTCTTGCTGATATGTTTCATTATGCGGAATTTCTGCTCGGACTTGCAAAGGTACTTACAAGGTAATCTGGCCAAGAGGTTCAACTGAAGTTTCAGGTATATTGATAATCTGTTTTCGTTCAATAACTATCAAATAGCCAATTCCCTTCCACTGATTTACCCACCTGAACTAGAATTAAGTATAACCGTGAAACCGTCTGATCTACTTCACAGTTAGGTCTGTGCATAACGATTCAGAGTCACAAAAACTCTCAACACGACTGTATGTTCATTGATACAACTCCTTGTTCGGGTTTTTCAAGGGGAACGGTGGCTCGGACGTCTAAGGCAGCAATTCGTAGTCCTGAGATGTGTCCCTTAGCCACGATAACGTTTCTAACATCATACTCATGCTCGTGTTTGTTTGCTTGTATCGTATTCTTTAACGCCACACTCAACAATATTCCAGCTATACTACGGCGGTTTGTAAATAAGATGTTGCTTGTCATCATGAGCATCGATCTACGCAATTGGGATTCGATGACATGCATCAACAAAGTCTGCGAACCTGACCACACGATGACGTTAGTCGCCTAATACGACAAGCATGGTTCTGGGCAGGATCTTCACGGGGCCGTTATGGTGATTTTAAACACAATGGTCACGTCTAAGACTTCCTCCCACGTCAAGCTAATATAGTCCGGCAGAGAGGACAAAATCCAAGAATTTGGGGATAAAGTTTTTTTTATTGCTGGATTTGTTTAAGTACACATTCTAGGTTATGAAATAGACTGATGACACTCTGTCATCTTTGGGCATTTTAAAATATTTAAGATGGCCGCCAAGATGGCCGCTAAAACATGAAAATATCTCTTCCGTGCTAATTGTATGGAATATGGGACTACTTTTGGTGCATATCACTATTGTTTTGCCTTCAACATATTAGAATATGTTATTCTTAATGAAATAGTTTCATTTGGAAATGTAATTAATCAAAATAATAGGCAATAATGTCTATGAAAAACCCCAAATCAGTATATATCGTTATATATACATTTGTTATTATATTATTCAGTGTCAACTGGGATGCTTGTGGATTTTCTAACGATTGTTAATGTTCTATAGTTACAAAATAAGATAAATTCCCACTGCATTTTGAAATCAAATTATAAAAAACAATAAAGATAAATAAAAATAATAGTAACCTCATAAGAGGTGCAAATAAAGCAAAACTTATTATGTCTGTTATACACATGGTTATGTTAAATTGTGTTAAATACTTTTAAGAAATTCATGCCAAAACAAACTGGGCCAAAACAGATTGGGCCAACTTTTTTGGAAAAAAAGAATGGAACAATTAATGACTGGTCCCTTTCAATGGCTGCCTCAAAGCTTGAACTTGACATCTCAGCATGCACTGCAAACACGAAAACGACGTTTTTTTCCGTATATGGTCATTGGACCGAAAAACGACTAAAAATTCATTAAAATTGATTAATTGGTTAGCGTCTAGAAAGTGTCCGGAAAAGCGTCGAGTTTTTCAAGCGTAAAATGGACGGAAAAACGATGCTTTTTGCTCCGCCTTGTACAACTGTTAACGGCCAATCAGATGGCGCTGGTCCCCCGACGCACGTGATGCCAAAGGCTTCTTTTCGGAAGCATAAGGTTTCGTATTTCTGGCATGGCTTGCTCTAGTATCTGTCGCGCGCAGTGCAGCGAGATTTGCTGATTAGTCAGTTTTAGGATATGTAATATGGTAATGGAATTCAGACACGCGCCAAGAAGTCAAACCAAACCATGCTACCAAGTTTATTGAGATAACATATCCCCCCGCTATGTACAGTTACCTCTATCGAATAATGGGTTGTGTTTCATTTGGTTATAACAGTAACTAATTTTGTAATGTGAAGTTTACACGATACACGGCTTTTCCATAGGACGAGAGGTGGGTCACATGACGTTTATCACGTGACTGTATTCTTGAAATTACGTAAACACTGACTACTTCCACATTCCTGGGGAAAACCCTGGGAATTCCCAAGTACGAATTCATACAGAAGCGTTGTTTTTCATCATTTAGACCCTTTAATTTTGAACGTAGCGTCTTAGCATACTCTGGGATAAGTCATAGAGTTTGGTTGCATGCCCGTTCAAGGATACCGATCCTAGAGAAAAAAAAACAACCAAAAATCCAAACTACCGTAGTGACAATCTACAGCAATCTATGAATTTACCTTAGTATCTATTTGACACATCTTTACAATCACCTTTCAATGATCGGCCAATTGATCAGTGATGACAAAGGCTTGAAATCGCCACAGGTTAATTAACAACTTCGGAAATATCTCCCGTCACGTTTATCGTGTCGGCCATTTTGTACTTGATGTAAATGTATTACAACGCTCTGTCATTGTGATTGACTTACTGAGGTAGTTCTTAACGGACCTTCTCATCTAATGAGGCTATTTTTTTGGATACATTTCTTGTAAACAAACTAAAACAGATGTTCCTCGCTTTGGGGGGAACTATTTTATTCCGGAATGGCCTATTAAAGCTAACAGTAAGTCAAGGCACAATGCGTGTATATGATCTGTTATTATATGTGTTTAACAAATACGGTTTTGGGCGTTAATAAAATACACTGACGCAAGTATATTCTAATCAAATCAATTGGATAATTGAATATGCTTTATTTTACATATTACATAACATCACTACACAAAATTTGGACAGTTGCAGTAACACACTACGGTGATCGCATTAAACACCACTTTGAACAGTATTTTAGTTATATCACGGTGTATCAGACTGATGTGGGATAAAAATCCGAAGTGGTTCAGGCCATCCAACGGGTGTTCGCGAAAGGTGGCACCCATACAGGTGGCACCCGTCACAAACACATGCAAGGACAAGTCAATTGTTCACCTGAACACACAATGATGCCCGTCCTCACTATTACCGAGCATGTAAATTATATTGTCCGTCAAAAACATGGACGAGTATAAGCAATATGTTCCTACAGGTAATACATGTCATACATTTGACAAAATGTATTGGCTCAGAGCATTATTGTTCATCACAGCGTATAGACTCGGCATGCAGATGAACTCATCAGCGCATTTTTACACTTTATCTTTTAACTGGCATGTTAAACTTCTATTTCATAACTCAGTTTTATTTGCACGGATCACTATGGAATCTTGGAAGGGACATTGTCGCGTTGTCGTATTGCCGCATTGACGCCCTTACAAAAACAAGCAAAACGTGTCGAAATTAACCAAAGCGCGACAATTCGACAACGCGATATTTTGGCCATTTGTCGCATTGTCGCGTTGTCGCATTGTCGCTCTTTGAATAATCTTTTTCTATATTTTACAAAAGGGCGACAATGCCGTAACGCGACATTTTTCAATGTCAAAATATGTCTCGTTGTCGCATTGTCGCCCCATCACAAATATGTATAGAAGGCGTAAAGTTCAGTTAATGTTACAGTTAGGAAGCGGTAACCAAGTTATATCTGTCGTAAAGTTCAACTTGATACATGTACGTCTTGAATTGAAAACACAAGTCCGTCCGCGAGTCCATAACGTTTTATGGTGAGCTCTTCTCTATAAGTGCTTAGTGTTCAACTCCCAGTTTCAAACACGTTGTACCTCATCAACAATCCACATTCCTCTAGTGCAGCGATAGTCCGGAAGATCTTACTCTTGACCGTATCAGACAACTGACGAGTGCACGCCTGACCTGTGACCTCATTACACCCCCCCCCCATGAGGTGTTTGCAGAAGGGAGAGGGGCAGGAAATGTGTGCTCCGGTTATATCCCATTAGTTAGACGTCCCATTAGTTAGACGTCCCAATTGTTAGACATTTCTATTTAGGCAAAGAGGGAATATACCTACAGGTGTAATGGATCAGTCCTAATTAGATTAAAGTACTGAGTAGGGATAGGGGACTCACAGTTTAGGGAGTATAAATGTTATAATTTCGTTTAATTAACCTAAATTACCTTACTCTCAGCACAGGTTCAATAGGCATGAGATTAACTGTGTAAACTATGGAGTAGCTTAATTGTCTTACTGTATGATCAGTTGAAGGAGTTGAGTTTAGATTACGTACTCATCAAACAAATAAAAATGATCTTGGGGTACGTATCATTATCAGTATCGATATGGATGGTTTAAGGAAAGTAGAGTACATCATCTCTCGGCGTGGAAGTGAGCAGTTGATGTTAGATGGATATATTTACAACAGAAACCGCGAGAGGCAAACCTGCTCACATTCGAGATGTGTCGTCAAGACGTGCAATGGGAAATGTACGACTGTCGGTGACTTTCTTTGCAATCAGTCGGAACATAACCATCCGCCTGAAGATGAAACCAGAGTGAACTGGCCCAGCTGGTGAACTGGTGAACTGGTCCAGCCCAGCGCGTAGCTCGCGACACACTGTATACTGCATGTTGTATACAGTATATTGCGGCTGATATACTGTATACTGCATGTGATACTGATTTGCGGAAAAGCTGCAACTTTCAAGATTCAAGATTCAATTTGCATTTATTTCATATACAACAGACCGCCGTCATATATCACTGGAATGCTGCTGAGAGCGGCGTTAAAACAACTTGTTTTCATAATGGAGCGCTGCAGTCATTTAAAATGGAACCGTATACATGTGTTGTACCAACTCAATCACTCTGTTTCGAATATTCAGCAGCAAAAATATATAATAACCAGCTGTGAGGAGAGATATAAGATTTTTATAAGCAGTCAAATATGGATGATAAAGGACCCCTCACTGATTAGGTTCTTGTTTACTTAAGAGCAGAGTTGGCCTTGTTAGATGATATAACGGTGTTCTCCCAGATCGCCTAATTTCTCCCCACAAGGTACCAAAATACAATTAGGTGATGTGGGTATGCCATGCCTGGATGAGATTTATAATTAGGTAATGTGGGTAGTTGGAACAGTCCACTTTACTGAATGAAGGGATGACAAGACAGCCAGAGATACATAGTTTTACATATTTTAATCAACAATATATTATAAGAAGTAGCCTCTATCAAAAACTATGTGTCTCTGTGTCTCTTGTTGAATTAGCATTAGATAAGGTTGAGAAATAATTTGGAAAGTGTGTCGTCTCCTACCCCAGCTGGCGCCATCACAAATCGTCAATCACCCACTGACCCATAGCCCCGACAGCTGAATGTCCTGCTATTTTTCAAAAATTAAACTACAAGCGGCGGTATTGATTTAAACATATTTTATTTCGGAAAACCAAATGGATTAGGCACAAGTGACACACTTACGAGGCCTTCTCCTATTACATTGTAGCTCCAGTGTCTGCTTCAACCAACTCACTAACTGTGTTATTGATGATGAGGAAGAAACCTAAACTGATTGTATGTATGTGAAGAAAACCTTGAGCCAATATTCATTTTTGAAAATTCAGAATAATCAATTATCCTTAAAAAGAATGCCGTGCTTGTTGACTTTATAATGTTTCGACAGGCATTTTGCCAGTTATCTTGCTTTTTAAGAATCAAATTATGTTTTAAATGATACCAGTTCATTTAGAATACCATATTCTAATTAGTTGAAAGCAAAATATTAGTGATTTGCTCCAAAAGTGGTATCATATTCCATACTGTTAGCAAGGAAGCGATATTTTCATGTTATGGCGGCCATCTTGTCGGCCATCTTGAATATTTCAAAATGCCCAAAGATGACAGAGTGTCATCAGTCAGTTTCATAATCTAGAGTACATCATTAAACAAATCCAGCAATAAAAAAAACTTTATCCCCTAATTCTGGGTTGGGGGAAAATATTCATTTCTCTGCCGGACTAATATGCCCTTGATATACTGATGAAAGTGACGTTAAACCAAACTCACGTACTTACTTTCAAAGCTTCCAGTGTACTGATAAGCCATACCATGCTAACTTGCTGAAGAACGCATCTTTCGTGCATGATGTTCTTATTGTATATACTGTTTCATAGACTAAAAGGAATGCGTAGACCATGTTTTTATTTAAAATTATAAATGTTTTTAAATGTTTATTAAGTCCTTGAAATGAGGCCACATGACATTGTCGCACACACATTACAGTAAAGATGGAGCTTATGACAGAGGCTACATACTTAGGTAATGTAGGTTAGATTGTTGCAGAATCATGTGAATGATGGTCCTATGTAGGACCCCTCCGTTCCAGTGTAGCTTAGCTACTGTTCTTGACCTCTCCCTCGTCTCTCATATCTACCTTCATGTAAGATGGTGTCACACGTAACGTATGTAGGTGCTTGAACAGCATTTTTTTGCGTCCTGTCGACAACAATAAACTTTCCAGATATCCCCTATCTTTACAGAAAGTTATAAAAACATCATGCCACGTGCTTCATCAGGATAGAAAAAGCACCATGCACACTACTTCAAGGGGCTGACGATACACTTTGATTAAAGCGCGCATAGAATTGTAACCAACGTCTTGCAAAATTAATCATAAAGACATAAAGAGTCAATATGATAAATCGTACTTTACTTACGTCAGTTGACGTCGTGGTGTGAATGCAAAATATACTTGAGATAAAGATTTGACATGGTAGTGCAGGACATGATGACCCTTTTCGCGAACATCTGATGTCATCACTGATTTTCAGTGATCCATTCATTTTATTTTCACCGTTATTTTGCCTTTGAGATTTCCTTTGATGGAGCCTATGAACTCTGCTGTTGGTAGAGATTTCTTAATATGGAAAGGGTCATTTTCACAATGAAAGTGAAACGATTATGTAACGCAATTATTGTTTCTATATCGTCTTCGCGTGTAATTACGTAGCCTGAAACGTCAATAAACATAAAATCTGAATATTTGGAAATTTACATAGTGAACGCAGGGTGGTTATAACTTGATTAGATATTTACTCCTGATAATGTGTGAACCACATTTGTTAACAACAGTTTGAACAAACGAAGTTTTACTTCAGAGCAATGTATGTTGATACACACACTTGTCATGTATGTAATCTTGCACATGGTGTCAGTTTGTAAATTTAGATTCCTTTGTGTCATTTGAGCTAACTTTGATTGAAGTGGTAGCTGCGACCACTTTGCGCTTCTGTTGCACTCGTGCATAAATCTCTACGCCTGTGTACATAGTCATAGCCAAGGCTAACAAAGCCAGCACACAAATAAGTTTTGTCTTCAAACACAGAAAGTTGCTCAGTACTAATATAAGGGTGAATCCGATGGCTTTCCATGTGTGGAAGTTGGCAAAGGCTGGCCCGGTCTTTTCCGGGAACAGCATGGCTATCAGAGCTGAAGAAAATCAAAACAAGGTCGACTTTGATATGGCGTTAAGTCCGATATTACGTCAAGGATACATGACGTCGTGTTTCCGACTTTTCCCTGCGTAATTGTACTTTCCCCAGGGTAAGTTTTATTGTAATGGCGACTAGGTCACCTGTGTCCTGATAATTATGAGATTTTATCAATAAGTGAGTGAGTATGGCTTTACGCTGCTTTAAGCAATATTACAGCAATATCACGGCGGGGGACACTTGAAATGGGATAACACATTGTACCCATGTCGGGAATCGAACCCGGGTCTTCGGCGTGACGAGCGAACGCTTTAACCACTAGGCTACCCGACCGCCCCTTTTATCAATAAGAGAAACTGAACAGGATAACGAAGTAAATGAATGTAAAAGGTTCTTACAGTTGGATTGTGTTTGCCATATTCCTTCCCCAATAGCCCATACAATGGGGATGACGAAGATGTACTTGGTGTCGTCGCTTGTCGGCGTCCACAGATACAGCGTTACAAATACCCCGCCGTGTAAAACAGCAGCAGTGAAGAAGAGAATGTAACGTCCAACGTACTTCGCAATGCGACTGAATAGGAAGGCACAGGACGCAGTGGTTGCCCCGTACGTTGTCATGACGAAACCAACCATTTGTATTCCGATAGGACAGCTGACAAAGGACTGCAACAGAACGTATGATGATGACTATTGATACATTCCATGCTATTAAATACTAACTGGCTATTGCATACACACTGCGTCATGTATTTATACTGTCTATTGCATTAATATTTCCTATTGTATTTATTCTGCCTGTTGCATACATATTGCGTGTTGCATAAATACTGCTCCTAGCATCGATACTGCCTATTGCATTAATATTTCCTATTGTATTCATTCTGCCTGTTGCATACATATTGTCTTGTTGCATAAATACTGCTCCTAGCATCGATACTGCCTATTGCATTAATATTGCCTATTGTATTCATTCTGCCTGTTGCATACATATTGCTTGTTGCATAAACACTGCTCCTAGCATCGATACTGCCTATTGCATTAATATTGCCTATTGTATTCATTCGGCCTGTTGCATACATATTGCTTAATGCATACATACTGCCTATTGTATATATGCTGCCTATTGCACACTTACTGTTTATTGAATATATACTGCACATTGCATATTGCATACCATTTTGTACCTTCTGTTGAAAACAAATATACTGAATGTTGCATGCTTACCGCTTATTGTATATAAACTGACTGTTGCATATAAGCCGCATATTGCATATATTGCCTATTGCACACATGCTGCTTATTGCATATGTACTGTCTTTTGCATTCATTCTGCCTGAGTAATATATACTACCTATAGAATACATATTACCCGTTGCATACATACTGATTTATACAGAAAGGAACAGTGCATAAACTCATGTCAACAGTATCGATAGGTTTTCTAAATTTTGTGTGAAAGCGATTTGTAATCCAGCAACACACATCGGGAGACATCAAAAATTGACTTGTCACTGAAGTAAAATATTAAGTGTTAACTTCACTACATTGAAAATATCACTTTGAAAATATCAGTTCTTGCTCAACAATGTCCAATCTCATTATGATACAATGGCTAAAGAACAAATAACCTACCCTTGTGTAGTCTGACCATAATATGGCATGTTCCACCGATTGGAACATTATGAAAGGAACCAGGAATATCATCTTGCTGGTGAATAACGTCACGAAGAAGGAACGCAGAGACTGCTTCAAGCTGGTATTGCTGTTCCACTCACTTGTCGGTAAAGGTGGTAAGAAGATAATCGTGATGATCAAAGCAATAATATCACATCCAAGATAGATGCCAAGAAGAATGTACACCAGACTCATCTCTGGAGGGGCTATGTCTGTTCCGTTTGATGCCCCAGGACAATAGTCAGACCCACAAACAGCTTTTCCTGTGACATTGCTGTAAGTTCCTGATTGTAGGATCAGTGACGACACAAGGTTGCCTGGAATCTGGGTGGTTTCAAATATGGTGAAGAACAATCCATTCAATTTACAGAGGACGTCGTAAGGGACTGCTCCTGTAGACTTGGCAAGAGAGTAGGAACAGACTGAAATGTAAACACTCTGACTCGTCCACAGAAAACCTGTGATGGCTCCGAGAAGAACTGAAGAAGGAATGAGGGTGGAAAATGCCGGATAGAAGTTCGAGCTTGTGTACAAAAGGTGGATCACCCAAGACAGGATTATCGTCATTTTGATTCCCATGAACCGGATTACAGCCGGTGCCATAATTCCAGAAAATATAATGCATCCATACAGAACGTTCAAAGAAATGATTCCAAGATCTTCCGCTTCATTGAGACTGCTTTGTAGGTTCTGAATGGCCATGTAAGCAGAAAAGGCCACTAAGAAAGAAGCTGCAAGCACAACGCTACTTCTTATTTCCTTCCCTTCAAAGGAATATGTCTTGGGTTCCTCTTCTTTCTTCATTTTAAGACAGTTGGATGGTGATTAGATAAGAATTTCAATTTCAAAATCCAAATGTGTTTAGTACAGCATTACTCGAAAGGTATGAAGGCTAAACTGCGGTTTCCTTAAGAAAAATCTGAAAACCTGCTAGAACTATATCAACAATAAACCATACACCGCCATTGGAATGAACTGTTCTGTTGGTGCATTGTGTCGAAAAGTGACAAGTGCAACAGTAAAGAAGTATGAAGGAATGTTGATAGTCACGGACGTTGCTAAGCATGTCAATGACGAAGCAATTACAGCAGAAGTAACTCTTGCATCCAAGTGCATTCTCTTATCTGAGTCACTGTACATACTTTTATCTCTGTGTGACCTCAATGACTATGCACATTAAAGTAGACTTCTAGTACATGTTTTGATGGCTATTCATGTCAGGTGAGACCCGTGAAGATCAAGGGTAGAATAGGTCTTCAGCAAACCTTGCTTGCCGTAAAAGGCGACTGTGCTTGTCGTAAGAGGCAACTAACGGTCAGGCTCGCTGACTTGGTTGATGTATGTCATCGTATCCCAAAAGTCAAAAAGACTTTCCATATACATAGCTAATCTCTGTTTTGAGCAGGGTCGATTATACGATTCCGACTACATCATGTGTTTATGAATCACCATCAAATAGCGATAATACTAGGTGTTCGCGAAAAGGTGAGCATATCCTGTCCCACCGGTGGCACCCGTCACAAACACATTCAAGCAAGTCAATTGTTCAGCTGAATAAAACATACAGGAACATATGGTATAGCTCAAAATATTGAATTGCTTCAGAAAACATTTTGTCATTGATGAATCGTTTTGAAAGCTTTACTAACCCTGATCAAATAAATTTGAGCAAGAGTCGTATGACGCGCTATGAAATAATCTTTTTTAACTATAAAACTTCAGCTTCAAAGACTAACCAGTTTCGATCATCCGCCCAAACAGGTTCAGTTGAGGCACTGAAAATTATATAATAGTATAAGTGCAGTCTGTGATGACACCAGATGTTCGAGAAAGGGTCATCAGGTCCTGCCCTGCCATATCAAAACGATATCATCGGTCGTAAGTAGAATACGATTGATCATAAATTTGCCAAAAGCAATTTTTGTCATTCGTGCGTCAAATAGTAATTTTTTTTGTCATTAGTGGGTCAAATTTGGAAATGTCCTCCATATGTCTGCCATTTGTGTGCGTGTGTGTGTGAGTGTGTGTGTGTGTGTGCGTGCGTGCGTGCGTGCGTGCGTGCGTGCGTGTGCGTGTGCATTCGATTCTGTGGATAGACGTCGATTGTGAAAATGTTTACAAAAGCCCAACTTGGATGGCAAAATGTATATAATACTTGAATCAATTTATCAAAATATTAAATCATGTGTTCGATGTGACGAAGCTGTGACTGACTTTTTCGACTGTCCAATCGGTCTGCGTCAAGGATGTGTATTGAGCCCTATGCTGTTTTCATTTTTCATCAATGAACTATATAATGAAATTTCACTTTCTGGAAAACATGGAGTCCAACTATTACCTGACATAATAAAACTCTTGATGTTGCTGTTTGCGGATGATGTAAATCTTATGTCAAGCACCATATCAGGATTACAGAACCAACTGGACATTCTGTCAATGTATTCGGATACATGGAAACTTGAAGTAAACTTTGTGATTTTAAGAAAAATGGACCTACTGCACTGAGAGAAAAGAGGACATATATATAAAGGTGAATATATGGATATTGCCCGAGAATATAAATACCTTGTAATATTATTCACAAGTACATTAAACTTAAGTAAATCGGTGTTAAATTTATCAACAAGAGCAAAGGAAGCTTTCTTTAAATTGCAGTCTGTTGTGTATAAACTTGGCGTTGTTACACCTCACATTTTCTTTAAACTGTTTGATTATCAAATACAGCCGATCTTATTGTATGGCGCAGAAATATGGGGCTGTCGAAAGTATTATTCAATCGAAAAGGTTCACCTGTTCGCCTGTGAAAGATTTCTTAATGTGAGCATGTCAACTCCCAGTAATATGGTTTACAGTGAATGTGGGCGGTTCCCACTACATAGAGCTTCTTATACTCGATGCCTACGCTATTGGCTGAAGTAATTATGTATGCCTGAACATCGTTTGCCCAAAAAGCCTATAATATGCTGGTATATCTTGATGATATTTGGAAGAACACATGGGCTTCCGGTATACGCTTAACTCTTTTCAATTATGGCTTTGGATTCATATGGATCTTGCAATCTATTGGTGACATAAATATGTTTTTACAACAATTTCGTACACGTGATATAGATATGTTCAGGCAGGATTGGCACTCTACACTTTCAGGAAGTTCGAGATACGACACACATCGTAATATTAAGTCTCTCCTTGAACCAGAGTCGTATCTTTCAAATTTAAGATTCAAACGCCTCCGCAATACCTTTATACGCTTTAGACTTGGTCTGAATGAGTTAAAAGTAAATAGAGGAAGATATTTAAATACTGTAAAGTCACTAAGAATTTGCCCCTTATGTTACCTGGGTGCTGAAGACGAATTTCATTTTATGTTTATTTGCCCTGTATATAACAAAACAAGAATGAAATATCTACCCGCCTGGTCGTTTTCATGTATATCAACTGATACCTTTGAATGTCTGCTGTCAAACAAAACGTATAGCGTTCAACTACAAGTATCTTTATACATTCATCAAGCTTTTGTGTTACGTCAGTTGTTGTTGTCTTGATACTCCGAATTCTACAATATATGTTAATACAACTGTATGTCTATGTAACTCACGTGTATATAGGCCAATGGCCTTACATACAATAAACCACTGAATTGAATTGGGTAGAAAGAGAAACATGATACCGTTTAATCATAGAAAGTGAATTTAAATACAGCGATATAAAAACAGAAGTGTTAGACGAAACTTGAGAACCGAATTGATTCACTGAAATAGCTTAATTATTGAACTATAATTCAAATGCAATACAATTTTCTACAATATATATCCGCCGATTCCATTGGGCGTAAAAGGCAACATAGCGATGAAAATCACATGAATGGATCACTTAAAATCTGTGATAGCACCAGTTGTTCTCGAGAAGGGTAAGCATGTCCTGTCCTACCATGTAAAAACGAAATCATAGGTATAGTTTTTATTCACATCAAGACGTCAACCGTCCCAAATAATAGTGCCCAATAATCTAAATAAGTACGAATAAGTACGAGTGGTCTGCCAATGAGGGTGTCAGATGTCAACAGTAAGTCATTACTTTCTGAGTTTGGTGATTTATAAGTCTTCAAAAGTAAAAAAAGGATGGTCCTTCATTCTGCTGCGCTTGGAGCACTTGTTAATTCCCGGGTCAAATTCAAACTTTCCAAAAGAAATAGAGGAAAACCCATCTCATTGTCGACATGCATTATTGGACTTCTGGCGTCCAGGGCAACAGCAGGAAGCACAACGGACTATATCCGCTCCATCTTGTGCGCCCTGATATTGCTGGGGACAACTATATAGAGGCAGTAATCATATCTGTATGGATTCTTTGCTCCAAATATTATATTTCGTTCAGTGTTTTATATCCATAATCATTCATATTCATAGATAAAAGTACGATTCAGAGCATCAATTAATTTGAGACAAATGTACTTGAATTGAATGAAATACTAATGTACATTCTATGTTTGGCGATTTTACATGATAATAGTAGACCTGTTTGGAAGCCTATTTCGCAGTGTGTTAGTGAGTGAACGAATGCTGTTCAACGCTGAAGTCAGTAATAATCCTGCCATATTATGCGGCCTGTAAATAATCGAACCAGGAAAACCAGTGACTGAAAGCATGATCAACAGTCGTGTCGGACCACACGACCCTCTTGAGTCTGCAATAACAACAAGCATGGAATACTTGGGACCAGGTTTACCCCGGTATTTTAGTTGCCATGGGAACACAGTCATCGGTCTGACACATACTCTGAGTAAAATATGCTGTCAATATGCAAAAGGAACACAAAGTTTGATATGTACCCAATATTTATTTTTACATAGCATAAAAAACAAAAATATGTTGATATAAAGCATATATATGAAATTATATATATATGTATATATATACTCTTCAAAAAAGAAACTTGACATAGATGTAAAACCACTTTTTGCCAAATATCTAAAACAATTACACTAAATGAGAACCAAATAAGTCAAACAGAAAGATGATGTGTCTATAATTCGCGAAAACACATGCAAAGCACATAAACGTAGTGTTTGGGGATCAATTTTACAGCTTCATCCAAACGCAACCGCCTGTAAAAAACGTGCAGCACAGGATCCTGCATTTAGGCATGCAGGCACCCCTGCTGAATGGGTATAAAAATCCACCTCAACGGCTGTTCATACAGTCCTTATAACGGCAGTAGAGGCGGTGACAGAATGCCAAGACTGAATGCAGCTCAACGGAACAACGCCATTGGGAGATTACAAGCTGGAGCAACTCAGCAAGAAGTGGCCAGGCACTTTTGCGTATCCAGACAGACAATCTCCCCACTGTGGACCCGATACAACAACACCAACAGAGTTGACGACAGAACAAGGTCAGGAAGACCAAGCGTGACAACCCAAGCACAAGATCGATACATCCGACTGCGACACCTCCGAGACCGCACTACCACAGCCACGTCTACAACCACACAGATCCCTGGGGTATGCAGAATATCAGATCAAACGGTACGCAACAGACTGAGGGAGGCTGGACTTTTTGCATGAGGACCTGTTCGACGTCATGTATTGATCCTACAGCCTTACGTTCTTCCTCACGTCAACGTCTATGGCGGACAGTTCCAGCAGGACAACGTTCGACCGCATATTGCACGTGTTTGTCAGGACTTCTTACAGCACAACAACATCCAGACATTACCTTGGCCAGCCCGGTCACCAGATTTGTCTCCGATTGAGCATCGGTGGGACGAGTTGGATCGACGCGTTCGCAAAAGGAATCCACCGCCCCAAACACTTCCGACGCTTCTTGATGCACTTCAGCTTGAATGGCAGCACATCCAATAGCGTGTTATTGACAACTTGATTGCATCTATGGGTCGTCGGTGTCAAGCGGTGATTGATGCACGTGGTGGGCACAACCGATATTGACATTTTCTGTACCCCTGTGACATTAACTGTATCGTGTACGTGTGTCTGTCTAGGTGACACGATTAATGTTTTGAACATTGTGTACATTGATCTTCAAACAGTGTTTCAATTATGGTTTCTGTGTCCTATTTTGAAACAATTACATTTTGAAAGTCAGTGTCAAGTTTCTTTTTTTGAAGAGTATATATATGTATATGTATGTAAACTGACGTCCAATAGAAACTTTACCAACTGAAAATAAAAATTTCAGACAAAGTATAATTTTTTTTCGATGAAGTCTATAAAAAACACATAACCTAAATACAACAATAGTGTATGCAGAAAATGTTAATCGTCTGTTACATGTTTGCGAGATAACACGCGAAAAAGTGAAAAACACGTGCACCACGGACAACTGCAAATGCACGTGCGGGTAAGAGTATAAAACGATTGCAACGGCAAGTCAGACATCCACAGTGATAAAAAAACACAAAAGAAATGCCACGACTCACAGTGGAACAACGTGAACGAGCCTTGGGTGTGGTACAGATGGGAGACACCCACGCCCATATTGCACGAACCTTCGGTTGCTCCCGCGTTGCCGTTACCAACTTGATGCAACGTTACAGACAGACAGGGCGGACCGCTGACAGGCCAAGAACAGGCAGACCCAGGGTGACCACGCCTCATGATGACCGGTACTTGCGTACCTTGCACCTCCGAAATCGCTTCCTTGCAGTGACGTCATCGGCGACAAATGCCTTAGGTCACAGGGCTCAGGGCTCAGCTCTTTTAGACCATACAGAGGACAGCTATTGACAGCGCAACATCGTCATCTGCGATCGAGATGGGCCCGGACTGTACGACGTTGGCATCGACGTGACTGGCAGAGGGTTGTCTTCACTGACGAAAGTCGATTCTGTATGTTTAGGGCTGATGGCAGACAACGTGTTTACCGCCGAAGGGGTGAACGAACGGCGGCGTGTTGCGTGCAGGAGGTCTTACCATATGGTGGAGGGAGTGTCATGGTGTGGGGAGGGATCTGTGGGCAGGAGAGGACACCGCTGGTCATCGTTGACGGAAACTTGACAACTCAGCGTTACATGGATAACATTCTTCATCCAGTTGTCCTACCATTTCTCCAACAGCAGCCACTCGGTGTCATTTATCAGCATGACAACGCTAGAGCCCATACAGCCAGAATTGTCACTAACATCCTCGCAGCCAACAACGTCAACGTCCTGCCGTGGCCTGCACGCTCACCCGACATGTCCCCCATAGAACACCTCTGGGACTTGATGGATCGTCGTGTTCGACAACGACCACACTCTCCAGCCAACCGGCAAGAACAGATCTTGGCCCTCCAAGAAGAATGGCGTCAAATCCCACGTGACCTCATAAGACGACTGACTTTTTCTGTGCGTCGAAGAGTTTTTGCGTGTATTGAGGCATTTGGTGGTCACACACGCTACTAATGACTTGTTATTGAACGTGAGCGATTGTTAATGTACTCTGCCTATTGTCCATGATTCTGAAAGCTCGAGTTTTGTACCACACCCAACTTTGGGGGGCTCTGACGTCATTCTCGGTCGCGGTATGATTGTCATTTTCATTGTTGATTATGTTGATATATTGATCTTCTCAATACACTTTACTTCATGCATGTGTGTTTTTTTGTTTTTGAGCAAGAGTGATTTCAAACTCTGGTAAAGTTTCTTTTGGACGTCAGTTTACACATACATACATACATACATACATACATACATACATACATACATACATACATACATACATACATTTATCAAAATGATACAGGTGTTGTGGTGCTTTTACCAAACTTTAAAACTTTGTTAACAGTTTTTCACATATTATAAATATCTTTGTGCAAGAATAGTGGAGGATTGTAAAAGATCCTTATGTGTGTGACCATATTTATGTAATGAATGGATTAAGTCAGTAATGCATATGTACGAACACTGGTATTATTATCTTGACTTTCACAACCATGAATATATTTATGCATTGTATTCGAGTTCGATAGGAATGTGATTATACGTACCCATCTGTATATACACCTATGTAGAGTGATATATATATATATATATATATATATATATATATATATATATATATATATATATATATATATAAAATGTTACAGGAAACAAGTATAATCAGTGATTAAGTCTAATGACTGAAAATGTCAGTGATTATGTCTAATAACTGATTCACTCGGTGGTTATGTCTAATTACTGAAATCTTCAGTAATTAGACATAATCACTGAAATGAACCAAGGGATTTTATACTTGTTTACTGAAAGCATACTCCTGCCTTATATATAAGATGTAGATCAAGTTAATTCTTATATATATATATATATATATATAAGAATTAAGTGGATATATATATATATATATATATATATATATATATATATATAAATTAAGAGGATCTACATCTTATCAATAATACTTCAAAGAATTTATATGCCTCGTGTAGTTTCATTTGAAAATGAGTTATAGTCACAATGATGTTTCATATTAACTTATAACAATATATACACTATTTAAAAGGAGGGTTGAATTGCATAATTGTTTACCAAATTTCAATTCTACAAAACTTCTTAACTCTCATGGATTTTACTAAATCCTTAAGGAATCGATTTAAATCCATATCTCTGTCAACAGACAAACAACAAGTTCATTTCGTACGAGCTTGAAGCAACCGTATAATATTCGTTAACCTTTTACCGCCTCCCTGTGAGATACGTTTTCTCGGCCCCACACTGAAACACATTTTACCTGTGATGTCGCCTTAGACAAGGGGGCGGTGGGGTAGTCTAGTGGTTTGATTCCCGACATGGTTACGATGTGTGAAGCTCATGGACGTTCTTGAATGAAGGTTCAAATCCTTGTTTGGCCTGTTCAGGGAACTCACAGTGGAGGCACAGTCTCCAGAGTCACCGCAATTCGCCGTGCAGAGTTGCATCCCTTTGGCATAATTACGTTTCCAGATTTGTCAGCTTCATACCCATGCTCGTGGGTTTTACCCCTCGTGCTCGTGTTTTTGTATGTACCCTTTCAAAAGTGAGTGAGTTATGTTCAATGCCGCTTTTAACAGTATTACAGGTATATCACTACGTGTCAGCTTAATCTGGGAGGAAAGCCCGACGTTATGCAGGTCTCAGACGTTTACCACTCCGTCGAAACCCACGAGCACGAATATGGTGCTGACAAACCAAGAAACATAATTGGGGCGAACCGGGATTCGAACCCACAATCATAGGTTTCTGGCGTGCCCAAGGGACGCAACTCTGCACAGCGATTTGCGACGACTGGGCCGCCCGCGGCCCCTCCCTTCAAAAGACTAATATTTAAACGTTTTTAAACGTTTATTAAGTACTTGAAGACAGACCATAGCACATTTAACAGAGCACACAGCACAGACAGATGCTTATGATGGCCGATACTCAAGGCAAGTAGAGATTGCTGCAGAGCATCAACTGTTCCCTGCCATATAATGTCATTTGCAGAGGAAGGAAGAGTAAAGCAATGGAGAGGATTGGTGTAAAGTACAAATTGGTTGTTGTTTGTGGACTTATCTTTAGAAGGCACAATAAAAGAAACAGTGTCTTTAAATTGTCAGCACAAGGGAAACCAAGGCAAGAAACATAACTGGTCCTGTCAGGCAGAACTTGGTATATACCCACTATTAGTACTAATGATATAGAAAATGATTACAATTCCTATATACATAACACAACAAATGTCTTTCTCAAACAGCAAATATCAATCTTTCTGGTAAAAAAATATTGGCAGGGTATAAACTTCAGTCTAAACGTAAAAGTATGTTCACGCATTCATGAAGGGATTCCCATTTATCCAATAGCAAGTACTGAACATACAGGTTGGTCAAGTCATCTATAAATATTTAGAGTTATCTTACATATTGTAAAACTAAAGTCATAGTTCACATTTTTCAAAACTAAAAATTAAAAATGGTAGATATATAAAAACACCAACCCCATGGGAACAACGTCTCTGTGAAACATGTGATGTCTCAGAAGATGAGCAACATTATGCACTATCTTGTATAAAATACAACCAAGAAAGAGAATCACAAATTATCCTCAATCATGATAAAGAATTTGGTACACTCTGTTAAAAGGAACAATTCTTGATAATTTTAACAACAGTTATCCAGAAACAATTTCCAAGATCTGTTATCATGTCTACAATTATATACAAATTCCTTTGTTCACTGAATGTTACGCAATACATTTTTCATCTTAAACATCTTTGTTGTATGATGTTACTGTTGTATACAGGGGCACGGTTGACCCAATCGCCTAAGGCCTGCAGTTCGCTATGCAGAGTTGTGTCCCAGAAACCTAGGGCAGAGTGTTCGAATCCCGGTTCGCCCCGACTATTCCCGTGCTCGTGGGTTTCACCAAAGTGGTGAACGTCTAAGACCTGCATCACTTCAGGCATTCCCCCAACACCAAGCGGACACGCCGTGATATAAGTGGAAAACTATTCAAAGCGGCCTTAAACCCAACTCACTCACTCACTACTCTTGTGTACGGTTCCGTTTGGTAAACTGGGTTTGTGTTATTACTCCCGGTTTAGTATGTTTAGAAGAATGTTACTATGTTCAACCAAAACATCGTGAATATATCATGCAACCGTTTTATTTTTTAGGAAATAATTCCAAACTACAGACCAAGCTGTTGATTGACTATGTATCAAGAAACAGACATACATGTATACGGGTGTATAATCTCTGCCGGAGGTTAAACAAAACTGTCAAAACAATAAACAATGCAGAACCGTATACCGCCGCATGAAACGGTATTACAATACACACAGTGAACTTCTTAAATCAATACTGTGCTCAACTATGCACAGCAAACACAATGCATGTGATTATGAAGGCAAGTAATTACAATTTTTTTCATATCAAACACTTTCTTTCACATGTGTCGATTATTGAACAAAGTCATACTTTATAGAAGCCTTGTATTTAACCGTGTTGAACAATAAGTTGCAATAGCAGCGTGAAGGGAGAATGATTGAATACGCGTTACATGTTTGACCTAAATTCCTCCCTGGAACCCTTCTTTCTTGCTGCCTGAATAACATAGCAAAGGTAGTGCTCAACACAGCTATTCGGTAAGGAAGATAATCACTCACTCTCAATGATACAGCTTGAATAAGATACGATGTACAGTATTGCAAGGTCAGTGCGTGATAAAGCTCTATACTATAGCTACTCCTATAGCTAAAGGAGATATCGCTCAATGCGCAAGTTTATTCTTACGAGATAGAGACCGGATATATTTCCCTTAAACATTTTTAGCTCTTTTAAAAACACAATGAACAAATTGCATGGATTATCTACATTCCGAAACATAACTAAGTCTTAGAATGTGACAGGCGATTGTTTAAAACATGTCCAGATTAAGTCACTCTCATTTCATTTTAAAAACTCTAAATGTTTCAGAGAAACCAAAATGGCGCTAGCCATCAGACAAAAACAAACTAACACCTTAAAAAGAAGGTTAGTAGAGCAAGTTTGACACAGAAACACTGCGACCATGTAAATGATGCTCCAAGCCAAGCTACTGGTCCGGACTTTCATCTACATCTCTCCTATCTAGTAACATGTACGTAGTTGTCACATTAAACATTCCTAGGGGAATGTACAGCAATATATGTTGTCTCCCACCGCCACCAATAAACTTTCCAGATACCCTATATCTTTACAGAAAGTGTACAAAAACATCATGCCACATGTTTCGTTACGATAGAAAAAGTGAGAAACGCCCTGCGCACTATTTCAAGAGGCTAACGATGCACGTTGATTGAAGCGCGCAAAACATTTTAACCAAGGCCTGGCGTATCAGGCACAGTGAGTCAATATCATAAATTATACTTCACATACGACAGTTGACGTCTTTGCGTGAATAAAAAGTAGACCTACGATAAGGTTTTGACATGATAGGCAGAAATACTGCCCCTTTCGCAAACATTTTCAGTGATACTTATCTTTTTTTTTAACTGCTATTTTGCCGCCCAATGAAATGTATTTCGACGGGATAACAGAGACTTGTGATTCCCTGACGTTGATGGTTTATATTTGAAAGAAATGGTCTTCGAAAATTCAAAGCGTTTCATACGTCTCTTGCTCAAAAGTTCTTTGTTTATGGCTACATCATTCAAGGCCTCAAGTAGACATGTGGAGTACATTTCCAATTTTGGCTTGAACCTTAGGTTCCCGTTTTTTTGTATTTGAACAACTGACAAATCCGTTCACACCCGAACACCTAGTAGCATCATTATTTGATAGTGATTCATAAACGCATGCTCATGATATGGTCGGAATCGTTCAATGGAGATTTTTTTATGATGATGGAAAGGGTTCAAAATGAGACCGGAAGTGAAGTGGATACATGCTCTGTATTTAAAGGCACATACAACAAGTATGATATTCATACATTGTTTTTATCAAACCGTCCATATTGTCGTGTTGTTAGGTAGCCAACATGACAACCTCAAACAGGGATACACATAAAACATGAATATTTGGAAATTTACATTCTGAACATAGGATGGGGAAAGTTTGATTGGACAATGCTAACAATGAACCTTCAGCGGATTGCTTACCAGGGCGATAGCTCCCCATATTATCGTGACATTATATTCGTCTTACCTGAATACCCAGAAATCACAGATACGGTTTCGTGAACCGCATTGGTTGACAACGATTTGAACAAACGAAGAGAAGCAAACAATGTTGAAACTACACACCCTTGTCAAATGTGTATTCTAGCACATGGTGTTAGTTTGTGAACGTAGATTTTTTTATGCCATTTGAGGTAATTTCTACTGAAGTGGTAGCTGTGACCTCCTTGCGCTTCTTGTGCACTCGTGCATAAATCTCTACGCCTGTGTACATAGTCATAGCCAAGGCTAACAAAGCCAGCACACAAATAAGTTTTGTCTTCAAACACAGAAAGTTGCTGAGTGCAAATGTGAGCGTGAATCCGATGGCTTTCCATGTGTGGAAGTTGGCAAAGGCTGGCTCCTTCTTCTCCGGGAACAGCATGGCTATCAGAGCTGAAGAAAATCAAAACAAGGTTGGCATTAGTATAAGCTAAACAGCGCTAATAACAGTATTTTAACGACATTATGTCCGAGAAGACGTCGTAGACCGACAACGTCTTTCGTTACGTCATACCGTCAAGGGATGCCGGTCGTTTAAATGAATGCCCTTGTTCTGTTTCTGACTATACTCTGCGTACCTTCTTCTTTCCCTTGGGTCAGTTTTACTTTGGTGAAACTTACTTTCATGGGTATGGTGCTGACAAACAAAGAACTCGGGTCTGAGATTACACCCCACGTCCATACGTTTCTAATAGGCTTGAGGGCACAAATGTGCACAGCGAATTGTGCCCTAATAATTATGAGATTTTATCATTCGGAATAGCGTTAACAAGAGAAAGAGACTAATGCCTGGTTCTTACAGTTAGATTGTGTTTCCCATATTCCTTCCCCGATGGCCCACACAATGGGGATGACGAAGATGTACTTGGTGTCGTCGCTTGTCGGCGTCCACAGATACAGCGTTATAAACACCCCAGCTTGTAAGACAGCAGCAGTGAAGAAGAGAATGTAACGTCCAATGTACTTCGCAATGCGACTGAACACGAAGGCACAGGAAGAAGTGGTTGCCCCGTACGTTGCCATGATGAAACCAACCATGTGTATTCCGATAGGACAGCTGACATAGGACTGCAACAGACCGTATGATGACTATTGATACATCCAATGCTATTAAATACCAACTGGCTATTGCATACATACTTCTTATTGCATACATACGGCTTTATGTATTCAAACTGTCTATTGCATAAATAATGTCCATTGTATTCATTCTACCTGTTACATACATATCGCTTATTGTATTAATACTGCATAAATATCACATTTTAAGTTCATTCTGCCTATTGCATACATACTACTTAATGCATACATACTGTCTATTGCATATTTTAAGTTCATTCTGCGTATTGCATACATACTTCTTACTGCATACATACTGTCTATTGCATATTTTAAGTTCATTCTGCCTATTGCATACATACTACTTACTGCATAAATACTGTCTATTGCATATTACTGTCTGTTGCATACATATTGTTTTGTGCTTACATACTGCTTTATACTGAGGGAAACTGCAGACTCTCATATCAACAGCATTGTTTTTACATTTTAAGTTGGGGCGGTGGGGAAGCCTCGTGATTTAAGAGTTCGCTGGCCATGCTGAAGACCCGGGTTTGACTCCCCACATGGGTACAATGTGTGAAGTCTATTTATGGTGTCTCCCATCGCGATATTGCTTGGATATTGCTAAAGCATCGTAAAACCATACTCTCTCATTCACTCACTCACTTGAGTGAGCAAGTGTGTTGGTACGCCATCTTCAGCATTAGTCCAGCAACACATGACGGGAGACACCAAGAATGGGCTTGTCACAATTTACCAATGTAAGGAATTGAACCAGGACCTTCGGCGAGACGAATCAACGTTTTAACCACAAGACTAATGCCATCGTAAATTGTGATACACAAATCACAGGTGTGGGCGAGTGTATCTTGGTACATATAGTAACACAGATTCTTCTTGATATACAGTTACTGTCAACTGAGGGACAATCTTACCGCTTCCATCGACACCATTTTTTCTCCATTTGCGAAACACACAGCATATATAGAGAAACGAGAAACGTTCATGCGATTAATAGATATTACATTTTCATAATGTGTTGCAAATATCATCACGATACAATGGCTAAAGAACAAATAACCTACCCTTGTGTAGTCTGACCATAATATGGCTTGTTCCACTGCCTGGAACATCATGAAAGGAACCAGGAATATCATCTTGCTGGTGAATAACGTCACGAAGAAGGAAATGAGAGATTGCTTCAAGCTCACATTGCTGCTCCAGTCACTTTTCGGTAAAGGTGGTAAGAAGACAATCGTGATGATCAAAGCAATAACACCACATCCAAGATAGATGCCAAGAAGAATGTACACCAGACTCATCTCTGGAGTGGCTATGTCTGTTCCGTTGGATACCCCAGGACAATAGTCAGACCCACAAACAGCTTTTCCTGTGACATTGCTGTAAGTTCCTGATCGTAGGATTAGTGACGACACAAGGTTGCCTGGAATCTGGGTTGTTTCAAAAACGGTGAAGAACAATCCATTCAATTTACTGAGGACATCGTAGGGGGCTGCTCCTGTAGACTTGGCAAGAGAGTAGGAACAGACTGAAATATAAATACTCTGACTCGTCCACAGAAAACCAGAGATGGCCCCGAGGAGAATTGAAGAAGGTATGAGGGTGGAAAATGCCGGATAGAAGTTCGAGCTTGTGTACAGAAGGTGGATCACCCAAGACAGGATTAAAGACAATTTAATTCCCATGAACCGGATTACAGCCGGAGCCATAATTCCAGAAAATATAATGCATGCATACAGAACGCTCAGAGAAATGATTCCAAGATCTTCCGCTTCATTGAGACTGCTTTGTAGGTTCTGAATAGCCATGTAAGCAGCAAACGCCGCAAAGAAAGCAGCTGCAAGCACAGCGCTACTTTTTGTTTCCTTCCCTTCAAAGGCATACGTCTTCGGTTCCTCTTCGTTCTTCATTTTGAGATAGTTTTGTCAATAAACTATACCAATGCCAGTTGGGTGGAGATTCAATAAGAATCTAAACTGACTTCAATTTCAAAGTGCAAATGTGTCCATTACAGCATTACTCGAGGAGTGTGAAGGTGAAACTGCGGTTCCCTTAAAAAATCAACTCAGGATCCTTGTGCAGGAAACGTCTTAGGTGGCAGTGGGCGGATCTAGGATTTCGGAAAAGTTCATTTTGTTCCCATGGGGTTGTTATGTTTAGAACTGGGACCCGCCAGTATTATATCAGCATAATAAACAATAGACATGAATCCTGGCAACCCCCATAGGAATGAGCTGCTCTGATAGTGTAATTTATTGAAAAGGCAAAGGTCAAACATATGTTTACCAGTATAAAGGAATGTGGATGTTGACGGACGTTTCTAAGCATGGCCATGACTAAGCAACAATGACTAAGGGGATCTTGCATCTAACCGCTGGGTACACAATAACACCATTCTCTTATCTGAATCCCTTTAAATACTGTGATCACTATGTGAATACTATGTTTTGACCTCAATGATTAGGCATGTGAAAGGAGGCTTCAGGTAAACGTTTTGGTAGCTATTCATCTTACTTTCAGATGTACATGTTTAACCTTTCTTCCTGTTGTTGACCAGATTGATCAGATGCCCTCAGTTGGGATTCAAGATTAGAATGGTAGATATATAACGTCAGCGACAGAGAACAGCCATCTTGATTCCAGTGGGTGTAAAAGGCAAAAAATATTGGGGCGGTTAAGGCTGGATTTTAGTCAAAATTGTGCACTTTGGGTTAAAAGCACCAAACTGAGCACGCTTATACATTGAACCATTCCGAACATTTCTGGATATGGATCCATCTCAGCAGCGCCACCTTGTGGTAGGAAAATCCAAGATGGCCGCCCAAATGGTTAAAATTTCTTACAATGTCAATTTAAATTCAATTTATCATTATTATTTTGTCAATGTTAGTAATTCATGCAAACTAAATTGAAACAACGTTGTATATAATTCAAATCTAATATGCAGCGTCCACTGGTGGCGACGAAAATCCAACATGGCTGCCAAAATGACTTAATCTTCAAATGTCAAATGTTTGTCCATAATATCAGTATCATTTGTTCATTGCAATCATTTCAATCAAATTTGGCTTCAAAACTGTAGCGGCCCGGACCCGAACTTCTGATAAACCTCGAAGTCTGGATGTAACTGAGAGTCAAAACACTTCTTTTCAATGAATAATTAGTTTTTATTCATGTGGGTATAACAATGCCTTATATTGACAACACAATGCTTCCAAATAAGTAGATCCCTCTGAGCTTTAAGGTTTATTTGTAAGGACTAGTGTCAGGGCAAAATAATTATTGCCTGTAACTATAATGGTAGTTTACTGCTATAAATATATATATATGGATGACTTCTTTATCTGAATAACTTTACAGTTACTTAGATAGCAATTTGTGTCTGTGTTCAAAAATTCAGTCTATTTATAGAAATGATTACATAAGGACAAGAGGAACTTTTTGGCTGAATTATCTGCCCTTTGATTGAAACTGACCTTTAGACTGCCAAAGTCAGAATGACCCAGAATGGATCTCATCGTATTTATAGGTGTGAGAAAATGGTCACATGTCTGTTATTGACCAATCAAATTACGAGAAATTACGTCTCTTTACGTCCTTATTCCTTTGAGGGATCTACTTTCACAATGTAAAATCACTGAAATAAAGAGGAAGGCAAACCATCTCAGGAGGTAATTTGGTATAAAAATGAGTATTTATACCAATCAATTAATTCGGTCTAATTGATTCACTAATTGCCTTCCAATATCACAAGATAAACAATTACGTCCAGCTACGTCAAAGCTACGTCCTTGCTGCCTGCCGAGAGGACGTAATAACAACAAGCAACATCGACTGGGAATTACGATGGACAATTCAAAGAGGAAGATTACAAATGTCAGGAGGCAATTGGAATTTATCTGATGCATAAGACGTTTAATAACACAAATTGGCCACTGGTATGCTTTGACAGAAGCACTGGATGTCATATTTATGAGAAACATGTTCATAAATAGTGACGCTAAATACTGCGCATGAATACATCAGCGAAGATTACATAGTTCCTGATGTCAGAATTAACAGTAACTTAAAACACGTCTTGACATATCATCAAATACGATTCTGGGTTCCTCTGGACATAGTTCATTAGATTAAATAAACTTTATAATGCAAAATACTAAGCATTAGCCAAATTCAGTAACTTCATCGCGACCTAGGCTAGCTGTCACAAAGTTAAAATGGCGGGCGTCGGCGAAACACGTAGCTCAGCCCTGATCACAAATTCACACAAATATGGATAAATATCAAGCTGCCAAGTGATTGTGATCTGTTTGTTGAAGAACAAAGGTATGATTAATCTGTATCTGATGGTTAATTTGCGTAACTGTGTGCTTAGAACGATGAATTCTTCAAAAGTTACGGTCAATGCAAAACTCTTGAAAAAAGTAAACAAGATCGTTTTGACAGGCACGTTGTTGACATCGATGCTTATGAGGTAATGGCACATCCTAAACAATATGCGTAACATGATGGCATGGACATGTGATTATTTTTACGAGATAACAGTGTGCCATGAAGCTCTATAAAAGCATGCTATGATCCTCTGATAGATTTCTTACCAAAACGGGATTCAAAACATTGAATTACGTGAAAACGAGGTTGGCAAAAGTATACTGATATATACCTGCAAAACTAATTACAGTTTACAGTATAATTATGATATAATTCGTGCACTGTCATATAACCATCAAAAATACAACAGGGAAATATTTAGGAAATATTTCTAATTTTTACAAGCTGTCATAACTTACATATTTTATAATAATAATTAATATTTATATATTCTTCGTGATGGCCATCACAAAACAATTCCAGGTAACGCTTTACTGAATGTATAAGCCTTTGGTACTAAAATTCATTCATTTGATGCAAGATCTGTATTCCGGAAGGCAGGCCTGGCGAATATATTAGACTGCATGAACTTAGTTTAAATTCTATAACTGAACAAAATACAAGACTGGTATCGAATCTTGCTAGCATTTTTGAGAGATTACAATCAAGGCAAAAAGGTCAAATTGGAGTTTGATAAAGATATTGGACCAGCACTGAAACATGCCTTTTTGATTCTGAATCATTAAGGCTAACTAAACGAGCAACACTTCCGCAAAGATGTTTTAAGGTTGAAACAAACTTTCATGGAAACATTTCCTCCTGACTGCCATAAACAGTCTGTACCTGCCTTCTTTGAAAGCTCAAGTCAGTATGAAATTTGAAGGACCAAGTAAAAAAAAAACAATCCTCAAGCATCCTAAACTATCTCAGAACACCTTGTCTTCAAAGCGTGAAATCTCGGTGCACCAGCATATCATCACAAAGAAACCACTGAGACCGAGAAATGCAAGTCCCAGTTTACTTGGTATTAAAAAAACCTGTGATCTTGTTGACACATTTCATACATGTTGTTCTTTTATACACATATCAGGAAAACCATTTCCAAACAGCCCAAGTATATACTAATGTACCCCAATCCTGTTTTAGCAAGATGGGTGATTATGTGTCTCATTTAAGGACCTTTCACCCAAGACGTAGATAGTGTTAACACAATGCATGTGATATGCCTGACCATGAGTAAATCTGCTCATATCACATGAAGGAAGTACTGCGAAAACAAGACAAACGCATCCTTCAACAACTATGTCCCATATGCCAATATTTTAGAATGTTCTGTTGCTATGATACAGCATTCAATTAATTTGGTAAAAAGGAGAAAAAAAGAATTGGACATTTAAATCCTGGTCAGATGCATTTGCTTGCCATGGATGAACCACTATACACAATTACTGAAACAATCCAGTGGAACAGTCCTGAATTAAATGATGAAGTTCGTTACAAGTTTGGTAGATTTGCATATTGAAATAGTTGCTTTCAGGATTCTCAGAAACTGTCCCGAAGGAAGTGAAATGAAAACTGCAATTTGTGCTGCTGGGATTGCCTCAGGCAGATATGCTGATTCCTTCATCATGTGTACCCACCTTGCTACAACATCACGCATATGTGCAATATAAGGAAATATAAGCGAACACAGAAATCGAAGATCCTTTCAAAAACTGTAGTGCACCGAAGTAAGCTGCTCAGCCCTTGTTTCACTACTGGCCTCTTGTTCTTAAACAAGAAATTTGCATATTGTGTCTGGTGGATGCATTTCAAAAAGCAGATTTCCCAAAGTTTGCAGCATCACTTGTTATATAAATAGCTTGCATTTATGTCCCCCTTACAGTAGAGCACACGCACCGCTGTACCACGAATATTCTTCCAGTGGATTAGTGACCCACAAGACTAAACGGACATTCTCTGGTGTGGCACAAGGTGAGACACATGAACAATTCAATAGCCGTATGAAAGAAGATGGCGGTGCAGTTCGATTGACTGAAACAGGCGAAAGTGTTCTTCTTGAGGCCCTAGGAATTCAAAAACATTTTCACGATTTAATGCCTTCACCAGTTCATATGCTTGGGATACGTGTGAAGTATTTCCTGAAGTCACCAATGCTTTCCCATCATATGCAGATTCATATGCAGTTTGTCGTTCTCAGTGGTTTATTTGAAAAGTCAATGAAAGGCGACATCTCTGTTCATGAAGATCTCAGACAACTGACAACATTTCAACGTCCCAGAATCTTGAAGTCAGGGTTTGGGAGAATACATGTTTATAGATACCCAAGACCCAACACTTGGTCAGGCACAAAGAAGTGTTATAAACTAACACTACACCTGTAAGAAGTCTTGCACCCCTTTGTAAACTTAACACTGCCTGTCTTGAGTACAGTGCTATGTGATACGTTTGGGGACAGTGTTCACTGTAACTGAAATATAGAACTGTAAACACATACATTGAACCGATATTCCTGGTCATAATTAAGTAGGAAGTACGTTGATGTCATATGTTCATGGCCATAATGTAAATAATACGTGTACATACATTCCAGTTGTTAAGATATGAATCCATTCCGAGATGATTATGAGTGATTTTAGGGTGATCTAATATAAACTAGGTAGAATATTTCTCAGTAGACCATTTATAAAATAATATGCCGAGCCACCATACGATTTGATCATACACAATTCATATAAATTGATACAATTTGATTTATAAATGTTTCATTGTATCAAAACGTATGGACTTATCCTTAGTCCAAAGATATCAAATGATATATATATGATATATATATAGAAATAGACAATTTCTGAAAACTAAAACATATTGGAGGCCATCTTGGATTTTCGTCATCACCAGGGGGCACTGCATACCAGATTTGAATTATATAAAGCATTATTGAAATTGATCCTGAAAAAGTTACTTTGATAAATTGTATGAATTGACCAGATAATTATGATAAGTCATGAGGGATTTCAACAATGTCGGCGGCCATCTTGGACTTTAATCACCACCAGAGGGTGCTACATACTAGGTTTGAATTATATACAGGATTGTTGTGATTACTCCTAAATACATTACAATGATAATTTGTATATATTGGCCAGATAACTATGAAATATTGAGTATAGATTGATATCATTTGAGATTTCAGTCATGCTGGTGGCCATCTTGGATTTTCAACCACCAGGGGGCGCTGCAAACTTTTTTTGAATTATATACAGCTGTGTTGAAATTAATTCCGCATGCACTATTATGGATATATGTCTAAATGGACCAGATAAGTATGATATATTGAGTATGTATTGATATCATTAGATAGTTCAACCATGTTGGCGGCCATCTTGGATGTTTTTACCACCAGGGGGCTCTATTGAGGTGGAACCATATAATAAAATGTCCGGAATGGTTCAATGTTTAGGTGTGCCAAGTTTGGTGCTTTTATGAATGGATGAAAATCAGTGATGACACAATGTGTTCGAGATACTGCTGACCCAAGTTTTAATTTTCTTAGACCTTCATCGCTTCGTGCTTTCTCCCCACATTTCAAAGATTAACTTAGCTGTTTGATGACCGCTCGCAAGGTGCCCTGAACCTCACGAGCATTTCAATCTATTCATATCTTCTTTTGGATTTTCTAAATAAGAACAGTTTTGTGTGTTTATTTGTTGTTTATCACCACATATTGCACTATTCTAGCCTTATGAGGGAGGCCAGTAAATAATGTAGTCAAGACCAGACCAGCAGTGATGCATGTAACATACACATCCAACGCCTTCAGAGTACGACACGCAGTCACCTAGCCTGATCACCCGAGCCATTTAGTCGCTTTTTATGACAAGCATATATTACAAGGGACAAGATCTACGCCGGTATTCCTAAAGGAGACTATACATGACATATTTTAGACATAGAAGGGTCCATAAAAGTTTCATTAGAATCGAATTTGCTGGTAAGACATTCAGACAAGAGGTACGCATCCCCAAGGGCAATAATTTTGCTCCTCTTTTGCGAATCTGTTTCTTAATGCATGTGAATCGGAATTTCTGCTCGGATTGGCAAAATCAAAATGAGCTTAAGGTATATCCATGATCTGATATTGTTCAATAACAATAAATAGTCAATTCAGACATGTTACCAATTCAATTAATCTACCTCTTACGACAAGCTCTATCGTCTTGGGGACCTATACTAGTCCCCACAAGAACGTTTCAACTTCTGTCAATCATGATCAATCAATAATAAACTAAACCTCTGAAAAGTTTAAACAGCAAAACAAGCATGCCGAAGTATACCGTGTGCTGTACTAATGTACAGCTGATTTCGTTAAGGAGCACGTGTTGTTCTGTTGTCCGTGTCATTATTATGAAATGCAATGACACGCTTTCGCGGACATTACTATCCATAGACATGCATGTCCTATGTGCTGTGACCAAGACAATGAAATGCCTGGCATGCTTGAATCACTACACCAGCAGAAGGCTTCAGTGGCCATATACACAGACTAATTGAAAAAGCAAATACCTTGTCCAGCAATGGCTGACGAAACAAGGAAACAACTAGGTTCGTTTGGGGGCAAAGAAACAAGAAGCTGTGTGGTACTATCAGCTTCCTTCTTCTGGGCTTTTGCTGCGTTTGTCGCCATCCAGAACCTACAGAGCAGTCTCAACGAAGAGGCAGATTTAGGAATAATTTCATTAAGTGTGTTATACGCGTGCATGATATTTTCTGGAATCATAACTCCAACTGTTATCCGACTTCTTGGTGTGAAGAGCTCAATTATTGTTTCCTGGGTTTGTCATATTCTGTACACTGCCTCCAATTTCTATCCAGCTTTCTTCACCTTGATTCCCTCTTCAGTCCTTGTTGGCGCAATCTCTTGTTTATTGTGGACTTGTGCGAGCACCTACGTCACCGCCTGTTCCAACTCCCTTGCCAGTTCTACAGGACAATCTCCTTACACTGTGGTAAGTAAATTGAATGGACTGTTCTTCACTGTGTTTGAAACCACCCAGATTCCAGGCAACCTTGTGTCGTCTCTTATTTTCCAACAAGGATCATACAGTAATGGAACAGGAGAGACTGTTTGTGGGTCTGACTTTTGCCCTCAGGCATCCAACGGGACTGACATTGTCACACCAGAGATGGGTCTGGTGTATATTATGCTTGGCATCTACCTTGGATGTGATATCATTGCGTTGATCATCACAATTGTGTTCCTGCCACCTTTGCCGAAAAGTGATTGGAGCAGCAACGTCAGCGTGAAGCAATCTCTCGGTTCCTTCTTCGTAACTTTATTTACCACCAAGCTGATTTTCCTTGTTCCTTTCATTATGTTCCAGGCAGTGGAGCAAGCCATATTATGGTCAGACTACACAAGGGTAAGTTATTGGTTCTCTAGCCATTGTATCGCGATGAGATTGGTCAAAGTTTAGCAAGGTTTAAACCTGAGTGGGGCCTCAGTTATTTACTGCTATTTGCCAGCTTCATTACCTCCTTGGAAAACAAATATACTACTTGATGACTTCAAAATAACACATAATCTTACCGCACTGTACAAAATCAATTTAAAGTGCTGAAGCCATAATAAGAGTTTCCCATCGCATGTCGACACACAAAACCAAAAAATGAACAAACAAAATTCATATTTCCTTCTTTTAGCTGCAGATATGTTTCTTCTTTAAAACAGATGTCTTTCAATATTCAAACAGTCCATGTTCACAAGGCTTTTCATTCAACATCATTTGTAAAGTGCACTTGTATTGTTTGCTTGCATGCAAAGGTGAACAGCGAAATGATACTTTTGAAACAAAGCATGTTACATTCAGCGTTCATCAAATTATAATTTTTTTTAATTTGAAGTTTACACGATTATATGGCTTTTCGATTAAACGAGAGGTAGGTCACATGACCGCGAGGTTGACGTTCATAAGTGTATGAACGACACTATTTGACGTTCATACGTTTTTCACTAGAAAATGACGTAAACACTGGCGGACTACTTCCACATTTCTGGGGGAACCCCTGGGAATTCCCTAGCACGAATACATACAGAATCGTACTTTCTGACCATTTAGACACTTTAATCTTGAACTCAGCGTTTTAGTATGCATTGAGACACGTCAGAGAGTTTGACTGCATGATGGTTCACTAAACGAAGTAGGAGATTGAGGTATGAAATTGCGATAAATAATTATAAGAATTGACTTTCACATTGTTCATACAGTTTGACGTCACTCTATGGAGGTTCATACTCAATGAACTGACACAAAGTGAAAGTCAGTTCTTAAATAACAGCTGATAAGTTGGAGAGAAATAAACCGTAGTTTCATGGAGTAGATATCAAACACAGTGTTTATGTAGTTGAGTCTACCGAATCACATAAAGATCTCATTCTGATGTTTAGAAAATTATTATTAATACATTTAGGTAGAACTCATACCCTTTAATTATTCAAGATATTGATAGGTTACAAGCTCCAAACAAAACAATAAAATCAGATTTCGGTACATGCTCATATTTGTTCTACTATTCATCAATATTCATCTAAAAAATAAGCAACCACAATTATGTTGAGGATAACACTGTGTATGATGTATTTGTGTATTTCTTTGTAGTCTTTTGTCAGCTGTCCTATCGGAATACACAAGGTTGGTTTTGTCATGGCAACGTACGGGGCAACCACTGCTTCCTGCGCCTTCCTATTCAGCCGCATTGCGAAGTACGTTGGGCGATACATTCTCTTCTTCACTGCTGCCGGTTTACAAGGTGGGGTGTTTATAACGCTGTATCTGTGGACGCCGACAAGCGATGACACCAAGTACATCTTCCTAGTACCCCTTGCCTGGGGAATGGGGGAAGGAATATGGCAAACTCAGTCAAACTGTAAGGAGCATATCCCACTTAACTTTACAGTAAAAATTCATTATATTTGTCCATTTTTTGTTGAGCAATATGTTATATTTAGGGCCATTCAACCACGACCAATGTGAAAACTGAAATTTCACATTAAAATTATGCAACCGTTTTATGATATGTGGCATATGTATAGGTAGTTTTTTGTAATGTTTGCACAGAATGGCAATTATATATAAATGGCAGGTCTTGGTTGTTAGAGTGTTGCTGATAAGGTATATGCATATATCGATTATTCCAGCTATATCAGGGATGCCTGTGAACAACTAAATCTGGATCGAGAACTACAATGGTTGATGGAATGAGCAACGATCTAAGCCTTCGGTTAGGAGGACATACAATCAGCCACACAACACGGGTAGAAAGTGTCCCCAGAACCCCATTGTTGGTCGTAAGATGCCACGTAATTGGGAACCTGTGGGGGTTGCGGGTCAAAAGTGATCCTCAACAACCAATGTTATTGTCTGTTGTTTAACACCGCACTCAGCAGTATTCCAGCTATATGGCGGCGGTCTGTAAATAATGGAGTCTAGACCAGAAATTCCAGTGATTGACATCATGAGCTTCGATCCACGCAATTGGGATCGATGACATGCATCAATCAAGTCAGCGAGCCTGACCACCAAATCCCATTAGTCGCCTCGTACGATAATAGATACTGAACCAGACATATCAGTCATGGATTCCGTGAGTAATGTGCCACGCCATCGGGTACGATGACACCCATTTTAGCAAGTTAAACACTTTTAGTCGCCACTCACAGCATAGGTTGCTTAGGACCTATTCTAACCTGAAATCGCAAAGGTGGGCATCTGATCAACTTGATATGCGTACACCTGACATGATTTTTTGTCTTGTTTGTTTGTTGTTTAATGTCGCACTCAGCAATATTCCAGCTATATGACGGTGGTCTGTAAATAATCGAGTCTGAAACAGACAATCAAGTGATTTGGATAGGATGACTTGCATCAACCAAGTCAGCGAGCCTGACCACCCGATCCCGTTAGTTGCCTCTTACGACAAGCATTGTCGCCTTTTACGGCAAGCATGGGTTGCTGAAGACCTATTCTACCCTTGATCTTCACGGGTCTGTGTAGGTAGTTGTAGAAGGGGTCAACACAAATATCTTTAGACTACATTCAAACATGCACTTATGGCCAATTCTCAGCAATTTCATCTCAAACGTTTGCCTCTGTAAACATCTCCTGTGAAATTGCCGGCCTAAGGAAACCGAACTTTGGCATGTATATTTCTCCATATTATAACATAATATTTTGCATAAATCATTAGGATTTTATTAGATTTTTTGTGTGAAACAAGTGGATTCATGCACATGACTCGGGGTTAAAGGATGATACTTGATGTTACCTTACCTGGAGCTAGGCATCAAGGCATCTAGGCATATGACAAGGACTGTTCGGCTTGGTACATGCAAGTCACTGTCTTATTTCGATCACAGCAAAAAAAATGCAGTTTCCGGTATCCGGATACCTGCCGGATACCACCGGACACTTACCCAAAACGCGTCCAGGTATCCGGTGGCAGATACCTTGCCGGATACCAGATCTGTGGTATCCGGCATGGACACCTCACCGGAAAGTATGTCACCTGGAATCCGGGTATCCGGCACCGGATACCTCACCGGATACCTCAATCTGGGTGTCCAGGGATCCGGCACCGGATACCTCATTCTGAGTTTCCAAAAACATGTCACAATTTGGGGGGTGCATTTTGTTCAATTAAGTGTGAAACACCTAAAAATATATTGGAAACTAACCATGAAAATTGAACATTGCTGAAGGTATCCGGCAGGTATCCGGCAGGTATCCGGATGCAATTTTTCGAGATGTCTTTCTCCTAGTAAATAATGTTAGCCTGGGCATAGCAGATAGCTGTAGTAATATGCTGTGCTATTTTAGTTGTAAATATCCCCTTGAAGTTGAGATCTATGGGCATGTACTTTTGGTGAAAACATTTTTCAAGTTCATATATATTTCAATTTAGATGTTCAGCGTATTAAATGAAAAGCATTCAGTCCTGGTATGATGGTATCCTTACATTTCATCTTCATATTCCCAGTTTGTTCTAGCCTAGTGGTTGAAGCATTCGATTCACCACATCGGTACATTGCTTGGTGTCACCCATCATGATATTGTTTGAATTTTGCTCATAAAGTGGCATAACACCATACTCACTCTGACAAAAAAATGAAAGTCATTGGCTATGTGCTCACTTGGGCCTTTGTTCCTGATGAGATTAAAAGTTTATTTTGGAATTGTATCAATACTTGTTACATCTTGACAGACGAGTTTCATTGAAGTTCGAAACAGAATATCATTAACCCAAATGGGTGCATAAGACTAATGGCATCCACAGAAAACACCAAATAAAGTACTGGTACATAAAAATATCAATGTAACTTTTCTACTGACATGGAACTAAAAACTTTGTTCAGTGAGCTGCATTAATTGTAGGAAAACATTCAGGGCATTAGTATATTTGATATATGTTAGCACCTATGTTATGAATGATCAATATCATATTTCTTTAAAGAAGCAAAACAAAAAATTTGTTAAGATAAAAAATCATATTTATTGATTTTATGACATTTCATTGGTTCAGTAACCAGAGGTGTTTGCAAGAACATTCAAAAACAGAAACAGATGCTTCAATGCCATTTTCTAAATAAACAAATTAGTCAAATCTCAGAAGAATTTCAAGGTAGAAGAATATCTAAAGTCAATTATGTTTGTGCAGTAAACCACAAAAGTCATTCAGATTTGTATAGTCAGCTTCAGTGTACACCACATAAACAGTCTCACTGCTGTGGTATTAATTCCTTTAGACTTGATTAATGTCGTAATAAAACAACCTACAGAATCACACTGATGTGGCATTTTTCATTCAGAATCATCACTTTCTGAGGTGAACCTGTTAGTTGTTCTGGGGAGGATTGTTCATCATCCGGAGAGTCCTTTGTATGACTTGTCTGATCTGGTGTCATTGTGAAATTCAGGTGCCTGAAACAATTTATAACATCTTTAAAAGCTTGATATTAAAAATATAAGAAACACACATATATTGACAAAGGGTAAAAAGTTGGTTTCTCAAAGAGTAAGGTAATGACAATTTATCAAGCAACTGTTAACCAAACCATGTTAACCAATGTAAAAAAGCCATAGCAAACAGTAAATTTTACAGAAAATACAAAATTGTAATTGATCTTCTGAAAACAATTCCTGTAGTGCCATAAGGCAGGCTCACCTGAATTTTTCTCAAATGTTTGCATTACATCAAAACATAAGGAAAGGCAAACAAGGCAATGCAAATTGCATAAAATAGGTTTTTATACATAAAAACAGAACTAAAGTATTTGACGTAATAAGCGCCTCGCTCTAATAAGCGCCCATGGGAATATTTGCTAATATATTGGCTAGTGAACAATCCCAATTAGCACCCTTTCCAATTAATCTATTTATACAAGACTTATTTATTTGCGTATAATACACACGTGTGTGATATGCATTATCATATTTTTCATATCATTTATCCTATCTTTAATTAAGATTTACAATAACGGCAAAAACTGCCAAATATATTGGTCAAGTGTAATCATAATTTAAGTAGTTCTATTTGGTTTTGGAACTTTTCAAGGGTAATTGTAAATATATGTGTATTCCTATTTGAATGCTCATTTGATTGTTATAAAATTACACAGTATTGCATCTATCGTCTGTTTCTTAATACAGTGGAACCTATCTTTGACTTGTGTGACATAATTGAATCATACCCCAAGTTCATTATGCATTGTTATGCATCTGCACAGAGTGGTCAAAGTCCTTGTCACACACATAGTTTGCTACAAGGCAGAATCCAATAAGTACAGTTGAGACATCAGGTTGTATCCAGACAAACTGTCTGATAATCTCAAGTATGGTCTTGGTCGCATCAAGGGATGTAGCTAATCCTAAATAAACATTAAACAAGTGACATAATCTCTTCTACAGAACACTTGATCAAAGCCTGCCCCACCTTTGATGTTTATCATCTCGTTACGCTCACAACAGCTCATTAGCAAGATGAGCTCAATGTCAACTCATGGTGGATTAGGGATTAACAGGGTAATTAGTGTCAGGTCGGTATTATCACTTGCAATTGTCTGTTAATTACTTAATTGAGTAGTGACGGCTTAGTTAGTTTCCAACCACACTGTTATGCTACTTATCAAGTCAGTTTACTGGTGACATGTGTCTGTGGACCAAGGAAATGTATCATGCCAGATACTTAAAAAGTTCTACTCATAAGTAATAAAATAATGACAGTTTTGATATGCAATTCTCCCTACAAAGACATTTAACATTTGATATACATAAACTGTCTGTTGAAACTATGATGATGCTAATATACAAGTCGCACAAAACAACCTATTCATATACTGGTACCTAGCCAAACAAACATAATTTTTTTACGTGTATGCACATGCTTGTACACATATACCTCTACTGGCATATCACACATACAAACAATCATTAGATGGATGTAATCGTTCAAAAATATTTTACATACAAAAACAAGTGAACAAATTCTGTAATAGCATGGTTAATATTGGGAGATGTTTTAGCATTTCCATTTTCACAGAATCGAAGGCATATCCTTTCATGACTCAGATCAGCTTGTAGTGATTTAAATTCACATAAAACTGATTCATGTCAAATGACCTATCCCGCATGTGTGGGACCTGTTATAAAAATACCATTCATTACTTATTTGTGTGTCCAAATTATGCTATTATTAGAAATAATAGGTATTATTATACAGCATGGATATGATATAAGAAAGCTTTATATTGAATTGTTGAAAATTATGTACAGGAAAACATTGAAATAAATCAATCAATACGTGCATTTATCTCAGAATCTGGTAGATTTAATCAATATGGACTTCTCCTTCATTATCTACTTATAATCAGA